CTCCATGTCTGTGGTGCAGCCACAGAGAAAGTATTTATGCAGGCTGATTTAAGATGTTTTCTTTTGATAAGGAACAAGCTCCCAAAGGGAGATGCACTTAGCTAAGCCTGGCTATCATGATCAATGGTCATCCATTGGCGCCTATCTGTCTAGGGAGTGCCAGATGGACATCTGGACTGCATTCCTAAGTGTCAGGAGTAAATGACTCATATCTCACCTTGATCAACCAATCAGGGACTGGTAGAACCGAGTAACCCACGTGGGACTCTGATGCCCATGGAACTTTCAGCCAATCAACGAGCTGAAGTTCCTCCAGGTAAAAACAGGCAACAGAGAGCCTGAGAGATTCTGGAGGAGATTCTGAGACTATTCTAAAGGGAATTCAAAGGAGAATTCCAGGGCAGGACGGCCCAGGAGCAAAAGGCTCCCAAGGGCAGGACATTCTCACAGCGCGCCTCCTGACCATCCTGAGACTCAGCCCGGACAACCACGGAACGGCCAGTGTGTCCGAGTGCCAGAACTTTCCTTTGTTCTAAGAGTCTAGAGCGGAGGTTGCCAGAGAGTAACCAGAGGATCCACCCAAGGTTAGCACCAGCAGCAAGCCTCGTGAACAGGTCGGAACTGTGGACAGCTGAATCACTATTCAGAACTAGCTCTTCATCAGGAACGAACTGGTCCTCTTCCTGACTTGCTGGGACCCACAGTCATCTTTTCTCCTGTGCACAAACTTTGCTAGTTAAAGCCAACACTAACTAGCCGGTCAGTGAGCATCTGCAGCGCACCGTCGCAAACCGCACAGCACAGCCTGGCACCGAGCCAGAGAGCGCGGATTGGACAGCAACAAGCCTGCAACTGTTTCTTTGTGCCCGCAGGAGATCTGAATCCCCAGAGATTGGATGAGTATTCAACTTCAGTGCATTACTACTCGATAATTCAATTGTTATCCCAACCAGTTGATATCAATTTAATTCCTAAGAGTTATGTACTTGTTTTGAGTATATAATGCAGAAGTTATAACCAAGTTCATTTATGAAACGGTCTTAATGAATGATATACTGAACGTCTGTCCTCTTGATATGTGTAACACTTTGTAACTGACTGAATATATACCTTTTGTATTCTGATAACCCTCTCGATAAGATATGTTAGGTTTAAATGCATATTTTATGTATTAATAAATGTATCCTCGTGTATTAGTACCTGTGTGTGTGCGTTGTTTGAGTTATGTCGCATGGTTGGATTCTAAAGCCATCAAAATAATCAATTTTGTGATTTACGGCTACAATTAATAATTGTCCCAGTAAATGCCCAAACCCTAACCAACTGGTGCCTTCAGAGAGCACACTACAATACCAATCAAACATACATGATGAAAATAAAATACAATATAACAATTAATCAATTACGTAATGAGTACAAATCGAGCAGGTTAATATATGTGAGAATTAAAGATAATTTAGTTCTGGTGCACTTATTGTGAATCTAGGTATTCTAAATCAGTCATTAATTTTACTGTGCAAGGGTGGCCATGACAATCAATTATTACATTGGCTTTCTTCACTTCTTCTTTTAATAGATGTCTGCTGGCTGTAGATATTGTATATCAATAACTTTACTGGGTACCTTCACTATCTTACTAAGTCTGTTTTTATTGCATGTTTTGAAGTTACCAAACCAAGATACCACAGTGAATGTTAAAACAGATTCAATAAAGGTTCAATAAAAGAGCTAAAACTAGGACTCAAATTCATCTTTCAGCAAGACGATGATCTCAAGTACTGTACAAGACCAAATCTACGCTATAGGGGTTTAAGAATAAGAAAGTGAAGACAATACAAGATAAGAGGCCCAGTTAAAGTCCTGAATTGTATCCAATAGAATAGATTATCTGTGGCATGACGTGAAAATTCCTGTCTACCAACAATCCCCAAACAACCTAATGGACATTGAGCAAGTCTACAAAGAAAACTGGGCAAAGATTGCACCATGTCAGTGTACAGTACCTAATAAGACCTGCAGTTATGCATCTCTTTTTCGCTGACATTTATATAACATATAATACCCTCAGAAGTCTTCAGTTTGACCATTCAGTTTTTAAATACAAATTTAAATAAAAAATGTGAATGTACGATTTTGTGATTTGACAAAATAGAACAGTCTAAAAAGAGTCAGACTATTTCTGGAAGGAACTGTATTTTCAGCATTTTCAGGTCTTTGTAGTCGGTGTGTACTTTCAAAGGTTTTTACCTGTCACGCCTCAGCTTGAGGTCGAATTCCCAAGTATTGAAGCTTTGTGCAATTATTGTCCAGAGGATGACCGACTCAACAAGATATCTTCCCATTTTTAAATAGGGACTCCAGTGCTCCAGTGCTGAATACTGTATACTTAGTCCACATTTGTCTCTGCAGTTGTATGTCTTCCATCTTTCTTATTTAAATGCTATAAAGTGAAGTAAATAGCAAATAGCGACAAAGTCTTTATACACAGTGAGCTGCTGACATATGCGAGGAAGCAGAGAAAATTACGTTTTGTTAAAGCTTTGTTTCATGCTAAGGTCTCTGTCACTTATTTCATGCGGCTCTGCCTGAGTTGGGGTTCTTTTCTACTTAGGTTGCTAGGAGACACAAAGGGAGAAGGAGCTCAACTGGCTAGCAACTTTGAGAAAGACAGCTGAGCACTGAGACCTGAGAGCCACCAGCACACCCAGATGAGTGACAGGTTGCTCGACTATTCTAAAATTACTGCCATCCTGATTGATTTAGTAAGCAGAAGCTCAAAGTCAGTCTGTTAGGTGTTCCTCCATTCAGGCTGTATAATTCTTACTGTATCCCTTTGCCTTGCTGAGAGTATTTGTCATGCCCAACATCCCTCCCTAGTGGGCGCTCCACTGCTCGCATTATTGTCCGTGTGATTAAGTTCTCCAGGTGTACCCTTTTAGCGTTATTTAAAGACCAGCTCCTCCAGTCCTCGGGGCTCATCATTAGGGTAAGATGTCGCGAGGCGCGCCTAGCACCAGGAAACCCTATGTCCGTCTCCTGAGGGCATAGGCCTCATCTCCGACACCTCCCGCTTCCTGAGCCTGGGGTCTGGAGGATCTCGCCCCGTCACCCTTGGACCTCCATGTTTTGTGTGCTCCCCCCTCCCGGGGATTTTAATTTTGTCGCGTCCCAGGATGGATTTCCTATTGATGGACTCTCGGACTGTGCTTTGACCTGCCCTTGGACCCGTTTGCATTTGGATGCCGTTTTGTCTTCCCCGTACACTGTCTCACGGATTGTCACTATTATTTTGTGCACTATTAAACCTCTGTGTGTTCCTTTTTACCATGCCTCCTGTTTTCTCCAGCTCTTACTGCATCGCATAGGGTCTTCTACAAGATCTGACACGGATTTTAGTCCGTGTTCGTGACAGTATTCTCTGGTCGATGGCCAGAGAGATGAAGGTCTCCCAGAGCATCGTGAAGAAAATAAAGCAGATCTACTTTGCACACGACCTCTACCTGGTTTAATTGTGATTTGCATGTGTAAGTTATCTCATTTGTTAAAGTTATCTATATGGTAGCCTGGGTCTCTTTTCCTCACCTTTAAGAGTAAGCAAACATTTTGTTGTTTTTCAGTCCAAATTCTGACCCTTTCTTGTAAGGTAATGACTCATTACTTGCAGTCATACTGTATACTTCCTTCAACTTGTTTCTTTCTTATTAAGAAAGTGGCAGTGAGTGGGTCATTCCACTTCACTGCACAGGCTTTGCTGGTTGAACTGATCTGCTATCTAAAGCCTGTTACAAAAGCCAAGGGGACATGAGGTGAAATAAACCACATACGGTGTAGCAATTTTTTTGAAGAACAGCAGGCTAATGCATGAGCGAGAACAGTAAGAGCAGAATAATTGTTTCTCAGAACCCAATGACAGATGCCATATTTAGCAGTCAGAAACGCTCTTCAAGCAGTTTTCTGTATGACAGGTTTAAACAAAAGTTATCCATTCATCTATTTCCTAACCTCTTTATCCAGGATCGCAGGGAAGCTGGAGCCTATTCTGGCAAGCAACTTGCTTAATGCAGGGTACACCGTGGATAGGAAGTCAGTCCATCTCAGGGCACACACAGACATAAACATACACACCTTCAAACAAGTGTAAATTTTCCCGGAAGAAAGTTTAACCTACAGTACCAGTATACCTTTGGAATGTACAGAAAACAGAGCACCCAAAAGAAACCCATACAAACTGGCTGAAAACATACAGTACAAACTCCACATAGACAGCACCTCAGGAATTGATCTCAGATTTCCAGCACTGCAAGGCAAACTGCAAGGCCTCCCAAGCAAAGGTTAGATTTTTATTTATTAGATATAATATATGAAATTGCTTTTTTTTTGTTCTTTACAGCAACTTCAGAAAACATATTTAGCAATATAATACCTAACCATGTTACCTTGAAAATAAAAAAAGCACTTTTTAGGAAAACAATGAAATAGTATTTTTAATTGGTTAACTATTACTTTTCTATTGACACTTTCCCAGATTGGAATATGCAGTTTTCTGCTATGATGCCCTCCCCTGTCCAGGATATGAAACTGTTCAATGCTCATTGACGAAATACAATGTTAAAATAAGAATCGACAACATTAATCCTTACTTAGTATCATATTTTCCATGTCAGTTATGTCTGTTATAGTTAAACATTTTATGTTTAAATTAATATATGGTTGAGTTTATCAAGCAATTTAATTAATATTTCAAAACACGATAGGTTTCTTTTACTGTGTCTGTGTGCTCGATGCCTTAGGTTACAATTACCTAACAGTTACATTGTGTACATTTGACAGTTGTACTTTTGGAAATTAATTAAAGGTTTTCCTTAAGGCTATCACTGTATGAGCAGTATATGGCTCTGTTTTGGCAACTAGTCCTGTTCTGGAGGCTCTTCTGTGGTGAAGCTGCTATATTCGTTTCCGCGGTTTCCATAGTGACTATTTGACGCTGAAAGAGTGAGCACTTTACTCTAACTCGTTTTACGTTGGGGAAAAAAATAGAATAGGGCAAACAGACATGACATAACAAAATTCACGAAGGCGTGCTGCTTGTCATAAATTAAAAGGATACTAAGAGCATAACTTTTTCTACTGACTACTACAGTGAATGTTCACTCCGTCTTCCTGGCCCAACAAAAGTTAGTTTTCTCGACATGGTGAGTAAACTACTTTAAACGCATGCATACTGTATGTTTCGCCTCTTTCTGTTTTATAAATTATTTTGTTAGACTGAAATTATCCAACATACAGTGCGTGTAGTTACACCACAATTATTAGTAACAGGCTTAAGTTATTGTGAAATGCTAAATATTGCGAAATGTAAAATTTCAAATAGAAGACAAAAAACACTTTATCACCGCGTTTTCTCCATGACTGTTATTGCTTATACTAAGTGCTTCTGCTCGAGTATATGAATCATATTATAAGTAATTCGTCTGCTCAAAACATTTGTTTATCCCTTCCTAAACGATGCTGTAATGGAAATAACCATTGTTACCATATACAAAAGGTAACGTAACTCTAGTACTGTATCTATGGAAAGTTAGTAAACATTTGAAACAAAGAAACAAAGTAGCAGAGTGCATTAAAAAAACGAGCGCTTGAACACTTTTATAATAAGTATCTATAGAAAGTTAGTAAACATTTGAAACAAAGTAGCAGAGTGCATTAAAAAAAAACAAAAGTGTTTGAACAATTTTATAATGACGACGTACAGTAGTCTACGTTTCTCTTTAAAAGTATCATACAGTGTGTAGAACGAATGTTTTATTTTAAATTTGTCATAGACTATATACTGTAGTTTTGGTTTAAAGTTTTGTTTTCCCTTAGCATAAAAGTCTTATTCGAATAACATATCAATCAGTGTGACTGCTTCACAGCTCATGGGACAGAACTTAAATTCGGGGTTTTGGGCACCATCCATGTGGAGTTTACATGGTCTCTTGTATTCACATTCTTCCTGGGTGCTTATGTTTTCTCATGCATACTGCACCAAAACGTCCAGGTTGGGTTAATTCGTGTCTAAAGTGTCTGTGTATGTGTGCTCTGTGATATGTCCAAAAATTATATACTGTATACTGTAAGTGTAAGGAATTATTATTATTATTATTATTATTATTATTATTATTATTATTATTATTATTATTAAGCTATGCACCCTTATGAACCTAATGTTTTGTAAACACCCAGATAACAAGACTGCCTCTCCTACTAGACCTAGTGCCTGCCTAACTGTTTGGAGGCATAAATATACTGTATATCACCTGGCATAATGCCATAAATCCCAAATATTATTTGTGGTTGGCAGCGATTTAGGGCATCGCCCAAAGACATTGGTGGCACAGCGACTGGCAGGACAATAGTTATTTATTATTGCTGGACCTTTGTTTATTTTGTCCCTCTAGTTTCCCTCTAGTTTCGGACTGTGCCTGAGGGAGGGCTGGCATTAAGCAAATGGATGTGTGTGTGTGGATAGGAACTGCTGAGTGCTCCTGGCTATGCTATACTCTGCAGAAATTAGGTATTACTCTCCCTTGTGGGCATGACCACTCATTGCTATCACTGGAGCACACATCCAAGCCATGCTTTCATATCTATAAAAAAAAAAGAAAAATAAATTAAAAATAAATGAAATGGCTTTTTTTGGGGACTGAAAAGTATGAATTAATTCTTTTCTCTCATTGATGAGACTTGAATTGTAAACATGCATCTTTTTTTTCTTTTTGTTAGCGAGCACACCTTTCCATTTTTAATTTTAAAAGGTTTTTCAGTGCTCTGTCTCCTGACTTTCAACAAGCAGGTTTGAGGTCGGATGTTTCTTGTGGTAATCCTCTGCATCCTGGAACCAAGGAATACACACAGGGAGTGGTCTCATTTGAGGATTTGATTGTTATAGTGTTTTATACTTTTTCATTGCCAGATTCCACTATATGCTTTAAAGTATGACTGAAGAATGATTTCAATAAAATGCAGAGTTTGATCACAAAAGTATTTTCATTATATTTAAAATGAAGAGACACTGAAAAGAAATCCTTTCATTTCAGTCCAGACGTTCCTGCTCTTTTATTTTTGCTCCCCTTAGGCCCTGCAGTAGTTTTTGGATTCATGTTGTATTTCATTAACCTCCTCTTGAGGCTTTCTGTCTTAGTGTATAACACTGGGACAGTTTAAGACAGAATATTTTACTGTGTAGTGCAATAGTACAGTAGATAACATACAGTAGGAGAGAAAACACTTTCTGACTTTTAGTATAGTTATGACTTTCAGTATAACTTTACAAAAATCTTACATGAATGAATGTGTAATTGTTTTTATTTCTACAGTAGAAATTCAACCTTTTGTCTGGGAGTGGAGCTGGAACCCCTCCCCTTCACCACCCCACTCCCAGTTCATATTTACATTTCCAATTTAATCTAAACATTATTTTATTAATAATGTACTGTATATACATAAAAACAAATCATTAATATGTTGTTCTTGCTACGAAAACAAGGTTAGGAAATAGCAATTGTCCTTCCCCTCCATGTACTGCAGTGCAACATTAACAATTATGAAAGCATCAATTTTATACTTTTGCCTTTTTTACTGCAGACCAAGTTAATTGTCACTCCTTGGCATGTGCGTCTGTTTTTTTAATTAATGTTTTAGTATGAAGACTAAAACATTAAAAACATTCAGTATGTTTTTAGTACTGTTTTTATTACAGGTGTAAAATAATATATAATTAATTTGAAAAGATCTGTAGTAAAATTTGTAGTAGTAATCTAATAAATAATTTTCTTAAGTCTTTTATTGAGGTACTTTGACTTTGACTAAGACATAGAAATAATACACTTAATGTACAGTATGCATCATAGGGCTTACATACAGTATTTGTACTGTATATACAGTTCTATTTTTCCAGTAGAAAATGTTTAGCCTATGTTATACTGTAGTTTGTTGCTTTGAACCCTAATTTATGTCTTACAATACAGTATTTTCAGAACTGAAAACAATTTGTCAACATTTGTCCTTGACATAAACAGAATACCATCATAGACACTTTTTTTAACATACATGTTATTTGTACAGATTGCATCAGTTTATTTCATGACATTTTGATTCTTATTACACAGAACTTTGTTTTGTTTTCCAGTGGTTTTTAAAGCATTCATTGGTGGATGCTGTATTCCTGTTATTGACCTTTACCAAGGGGCAGTTAACCATGTTAAATGGTTACACACGGTGTTTCTCTAAGTCTTTGCTCTTGCTTATCTAATTTTCAATTATTAAACTAATCTGCAACACCTTGGTTATTTTAGCAATTACGAATTAATTCAGTACTTATTACTGTACTTATTATACAACTTATTGGAATGTTCCAAGTCCTGTAACGGCATAAAATCCAGGTTCTAAAATGAACTACTCCTGGAACATGGCAATACAGTAATTCTACAGTATTCTTTATATAATCAAAATAAGCACTATTTATTTTATCTATTATTTATTTTAGTGCAGGGCCATTAATAAAATTTGTTTCTAGGCATGACGCAGTAGTTAGCATTGCTGCCTTGCCATGCTTGGACCCTGGGTTTAATTCCTGAGGTCATACAGTATGTTCTGCCTGTGTTCCTGTGGGTTTCCTCCAGGCATTCCAGTTTCTTCCCACAATCCAAAGATGTAGTGGTAGATTAATTGTCTTCTATTAAACAAATTGACCTTAGTGTCAGTGTGTGTGTCTGTGTGTGCCCTACGATGGATTGGCATCCCATCCAGGGTGTATCCCACCTTGCCAAGTTATGCTCTGGCATACCCCAGTATTGGATAAAAAATGGATGGATACTGTATGTTTCCACATACCCTGTACAGATCACTTAATTCCATTGAAATCCTTAAAATTAATCCTAAGGTTTTAACTTTAAAGGCCATGATAAAGAATCATTGTAACATAATTTTATGGTGCATGGGAATCTAGAAACTTATAATTAGCTTTTTTCGCTGAGATTGTCATCAATTTATAATCAAGTGTTATTTGTCTGAGTAAAGCTGTGAGAAAATTCTTTGTTTCTTTGAAGTCAGATGACAGTAAAAGTTAGCCATCAAAATTTGCCTAGATTCAAAGCATGAATAATAATGAAAGATAATAGCCTACATGCTCATGAATATTTCAAAATACATACACTTTTTATCCATACAGTAGTCCAGGATGACAGATTTCAGAAACAGTAATCCTCTATGGAGCACATGCATGATTCATAACTGAGCAAGTGTCTGGAAATCATTAGTAGCATTACATCTTATATGCAACAATTAATATAACTATAGTATAATAAATAGCTGATACAGAGGGCCCCCATTTTGTCTCCCTGCTTTTGTGCTACTGACTGTGACTGTGGATGTAAAAAGTCCCTGACAAAAAATGACACATTTCTAGTCAAATTATTGTAACATTTCTGTGTAATATATGAAAAAACATATACAGTCGTGTGAAAAAGTGTTTGCCCCCTTCCTGATTTCTTATTGTTTTGCATGTTTGTCACACTGAAATGTTTCAGATCATCAAACAAATTGAAATATTAGACAAAGATAACACAAGTAAACACAAAATGCAGTTTTTAAATGAAGGTTTTTATTATTAAGGGGAAAAAAAATCTAAACCTACAGTACATGGCCCTGTGTGAAAAAGTGATTGCCCCCCCTGTTAAAACATAAATCAACTGTGGTTTATCACATCTTTGGAAAGCTGAGTTCAATTTCTCTAGCCACACCCAGGCCTGATTACTGCCACACCTGTTCTCAATCAAGAAATCACTTAAATAGGACCTGCCTGACAAAGTGAAGTAGTCCAAAAGATCCTCAAAAGCTAGATATCATGCTGCAATCCAAAGAAATTCAGGAACAAATGAGAAACAGAGTAATTGAGATTTATCAGTCTGGAAAAGGTTATAAAGCCATTTCTAAAGCTTTGGGACTCCAGCGAACCACAGTGAGAGCCATTATCCACAAATGGCGAAAACATGGAACAGTGGTGAACCTTCCCAGGAGTGGCCAGCCGACCAAATTACCCGACAAAAGCGCAGCGACGACTCATCCAAGAGGTCAGAAAAAAACCCACAACAACATCCAAAGAACTGCAGGGTTCACTTGCCTCAGTTAAGGTCAGTGTTCATGACTCCACCATAAGAAAGAGACTGGGCAAAAATGGCCTGCATGGCAGAGTTCCAAGACGAAAACCACTGCTGAGCAAAAAGAACATAAAGGCTCGTCTCAGTTTTGCCAGAAAACATCTTGATGATCCCCAAGACTTTTGAGAAAATACTCTGTGGACTGACGAGACAAAAGTTGAACTTTTTGGAAGGTGTGTGTCCCATTACATTTAGGGGGCAATCACTTTTTCACACAGGGCCATGTAGGTTTGGATTTTTTTATCCCCTTAATAATAAAAACCTTCATTTAAAAACTGCATTTTGTGTTTACCTGTGTTATCTTTGTCTAATATTTCAATTTGTTTGATGATCAGAAACATTTCAGCGTGACAAACATGCAAAAAAATAAGAAATCAGGAAGGGGGCAAACACTTTTTCACACCACTGTATGTAGCTATATATTATTACTGTATTATTGTAACTGTATGTGTTTGAGATATTTATGTAATTTTTCTATGTCCAAACTTTACATTTTCCAAACACAAGGTGCCTTAAAAAAGATGTTCAGAGAATCTTTGAGAAGAGCAAAAAAAGTTGCTACTGTAGATAAGTTCAAATTTGAATACTTTTATTCTATATACAGTATAGTACTAGATGCCCTTAGTTTTATTATGCTGTACATAAGATTCTAATTTAAAATGTTGCGGTGTGTTACTTTCAGTTTTGTATGTACTGTGGGTACGCAATACACTATGCAAGCTTGAGTATCTCCCATTGCTTTGTCTCCAGGTGTTGTGCATGACGCATCTTACCTTGATTATTCTAGAGCATCTGCAGAATGAGTGCTGAACATGAATGTTTTGCTTTTAAGCAGAAAATGTGCTAAAACAAACACTGATCTTCCACAATGTACTGTGGAAAAAATACTTTTGTTACTCTGCAATGGATTGGAATCCCTATTAAGGGGATGAACACCCAAATATATTGTTTTGTGTTTCTACAGTATGATTGGCTTTGAACTATTCTCACCATGATGAGCAGTTTAATGATAATGGATGAGTGGACCTCTTAAATTCCTTTTGTTTTTGTTCAATACACATTTTTTTTATTTGAATCTGTTAATAGAGTCTTTCTTGTGAATTTTTTTAAGGTTAAGGTAAGGCTAAGGTAAATCTGAAAACGTTTCCTTAACAGCCAACAGTTGTATTGTTTATTATTTAACAACTTGGATGGGCTCATTGTTGTGCTAACATCTAGAGCTGCATCAAGGAAACCAGCAAGGTTAGAGATCATTTCAGTAAATAGAATATCTTGGTTTTGCTCTCCACTTGTTTGTGTAAATCATGAAAGTGTTTTCAGTTCCAGAAGACTGCCAGAAGGCATGTCCACATCATGACTGAAACCCCGTCATAAAAATATTATGTCTTCTTCTGTTATATCCCCAAGTGTTTTGAAAAAAAGATCATTTTAAAGATCTGATGAGTCCTGTTTATCATATTTTGTGTCTGTTTTATTGTCTCAGAAAAAGGTACACAATTGTTTCTATTTTAACCAGGATGGAAACCAGCTGAGTAAAGAACATGAAAGGTGTAGAATGAAACAAAAGCATCACCTCTCATCCCAACTGTTTGCTAAGCCTGAGACCTCTGAGATGCTTCAGATGGTTCAGGGTCAGAGGAGAATGCATTCCATTAATAATCATCATTTGAGTCAAGTTCCAAAGGTAGGTATTCTAAGAATAGCTGTCTGAATAAGTTAATAAATCATTTTTAAAAGGGAAATTTACACAAACTGATAATTACTTTCATGTAACTGTGGTGGAATTGTCCATCTGATTCAGTAACTAAAAAGTGAGGGATTTCCACAGTTTGCTCAAAGGGCAATGGCAAATGTCCAGAAACATTTGTTTGTTAGGTTTAGGGCCTCATTCGAACAAATAGTTAGTGTGGATGTGGATATGCGAAATTAAGAAGGGAAGGGAAGAAGGGACTGAGATTAAAAGTTTTTTGTTATTATTTCTTTACACGAAGACAAATCGTATTTGTTTTTTGAAAAACCAATTAAGTTGTATGTAGCGTTCACTGAATCTGTTGAATCAAATATAAAACTTAAAAATGCAATAATAATAATAATGGTTTCCAATTGACTTTTACTTCTGATCCATTAAAGATAAAAAAATACTGTCCTGTACCAAGAGTCATATACTATATTATTAAAAGCATCATTGAATTAAAACAAGAAAACTGTCTAGTGAAAAGTCTTAGCCCCCATCTTTACTAAATAACCATGTATTAAGACTTCAATTAATACAATATTTATATGCAATTAATTCTAAAAATTGTAAGCTTTTATTAACATAGTTTCAACTATTTTGTGACTAGAACCATTCATCCTATTCAGCACGACAAAGACAGACAGATGAAAAGACCTTGGACAAGATTCATACTGTAATGCACAGGAAAGATGTGAGGTGGAAACAAAATCAAGAGGAAAATAATACAACTTATTTTTATCTGTAAGTTATGATCTTAATTATTTCAAGGTTGGTGACTCATCGTTCCTTACTGAGAATGAAAGGGTATTATTTTCAGTTTAGATGAGCTGTTTGCAATGTATATTGTGTATATTATTTTGATAAGCACTGAAATATGGTATATTTGATTAGAATGAAGCTTTTTTATTCTTTATCTATAGCCAAATCATCGTGCATTTCACAACTTAAAGAACATATAGTACCCAGGTCTGTTTTACTAAATGTGCACACAACTTTTTGGGGGTTTTGCAAAAATAGATGTGTGTGAAAGTGGACCCACTGTAACTGGCCTTTGTGCTGTATCATTTTTTTTTGTCCAACATTGTCCACCTGGGTGGAATTAGTGGGGATTAGTGTTGCCTATTATAATTTTAATTATTAGGAAGCATGACACAATAAGGCAAATTTTGATTTTTTTTATTTTGAAAATGTTTAACTCACTGAGGTCTCATGGAAGTAAAGTTAACCAACTGCTGGATGAAAACCCAGTATCAGAGAAGACTTTTCATGAGAAACATTTATTGCCAAAATTGATGTCACATGCTCAGCTGCAATCTTCCACTAATCTACAGGAATGTAAGTTCACTTTTTATAATGGACTGCTCTTTAAAGTTAAAAAATTATTTTTTTAGATATCTCTAGCACCAAATAACCTTAAAACAGAGACTAATTATATGTCCAAAATGTTTAAATTATAAGAACTTACTTAATTTTGTCCTGTTAATAGCCTACATATTGGCTATAGTATAGCCATATAGTGTTTAACCTCTTTGGTTAATTTGAAGCTTAAGATTGCTAAACCTTTTAATGTAAGCGCAAGCCTATGCAGCCTATCTGACATCAGAATGTCTCGGACAGCCTAATTCCATGTCTAAATATAAGGGTTTTTTAACGCTTTTAATATTAAAATATAAATGTACTATTATAATGAATAGTTCAGGTGGGTAGCTGCATCAGCATGTGTAGGCTGCAAAAGAACAAGTAATAGGTTTATTCCATGCTGAAAAGAGAAGAAAACACAACGTTTCAGCCGTGGAGCGTTACTCTGTGTTTTCTTCTCTTCTCTTCTCTTATAATGAATAACATGTTGGAGTCACAATAGTGATAGTTGTTACTGTAATACAGTATGTGAATACTAATCTCAATATAAAGACTGCTATGAATATGAAATAAAATTCCATTACTTTGATGTGTGGTCTTTATACATATAGTGCTTAGCACACTGTTTACCCTCGAACGTTATTTGCCTTGAAAATTCGTTTAGCATATTATCTTTATGTAAAATGCAGTCAGCTCTTGATACAGTATGCATAACATTAATACTGAAAAACCTCTAAAAAGCCTTCAATATTAATTTGTTTGAGAACAAATGCTATTGGTTCCAATACTCATTTGTTTTGTTTATAATGCCTCTAAATGCATGTGTGTATAGAACACAGATTGGCATCGTTATGAAAAGGATGCTTTTAAACCAAGACAAAAATAATACATTTTTTCCAAAAAGTGGAGATTTTTTAAGTAAGTAAACATTTAATTGCCAGTATTATTTAAGATATAAAAGTAGAAAGAATACCCAACAAAGCAGAAATTTAACAATGCCTTGATTATTGCAGGTAATAGTAACTGTAGTTTGAAGCAAGCTCATGGACAGTCACTTGATGCAGAGAAGACTGTTCTGCCAAAAAAACAGATTCATCAAGCCTCCTTAAAACAACCAACATGGAATTATAAGGGAGACATGGTCAAAGATGTATGGTATGATGAAACAGGTATAGTAGTTACAGTATATACTGTAATATGTCTGTATTACAATTTGAAAATTGGGCAAAATGATGGTGCAGTGGTTAGACCAGGGATGCTGTTTCTGTGGAGTTTGTGTGTTCTCCCCATGTTTGTGTCGATTTCCTCCAGGTGCTCTGGTTTCCTCACCAAAAACATACTAGTTGGGTTCAGGGAAAATTGGCCCTGGTGTGAGTATGTTTATGTCTGTGTTTGTGTCTGTCTGCCCTATGGACTCTGATGGACAGGGGCCCCATCTCGGATTTTAACCTGCTTTGTAGCGGTTTCTTACCGGATAGCCTCCAGCTATGCCATGACCCCGAATTGGAAGAAGCGGCTAGGAAATTGATGGATTTGCATTTGCAACTATTAAAAATAAATAATTTTTATTTTTAGCTTCACTATTAATAAGAGACTGTAGCAAGTTCTTGATTATTAAAGTTATCTGTTTGATCTTTGGAAATGTTATCGTAATTTTGTTCAGCATTTAGCATTCTTTTTATAAGCTAAGTGGAAGTGCATTTACAACAGAGAAGAAGAGACATTTGCTTTCACAAAGAGGTTGTGGGAGTATGGAACAACCTACCCGGCCATGATGGTAAAAGTAATGGAATAGCTTTTTGAAAAGAAAATACTGGATTATACAGTATGTTTAAATGAATTAGTTGCTACAAAATAAAGGGAGTGGCTTCATTTCATTTTCAGTTTTTTATGTTGTTACAACAACAGGCAAGATCCCAGTGAGCAAAAGGATGACAAAGGATTGTGTGGAAAGGGAGACTCACAGTGTCAAATACTCAGTGTCATGTTAAGAAAGTGGAAATTTAGTGTACAATAATGAACTTATTTATTTGTCAACTACTGTACATTGCATTGCAAATTTTCACATACAGTACTTTCCTTTTGTTGTTAAACATTTCATTTGTGATTTTCCTGTTTTAAACTTGTTTATACCCCTGCTGAATGTTTCCATTTTTGTTTAGCAGAGAAATACAAGAAAAGAGATACTAAAACTTACTGAAAAGTGCTTGTTTCCTATTTGTATTATTTATACATTTTTTATTATTTTTTTTTCAATTGTTGTGTTAATAGAACCAGAGGACGACTGTGTTCTGAACTGTATTTTAAAGCTCAGAGAAAAGCTAGGCTGGTGCACTGAGTTTCTTGAAAAGAACAGTTCAGGGGCATCAACAGACTCAAAAAATGCAAATGAGGTGTGTTTTGTTCTTATTCATTTTTTTGTGTACAGTGTTTAGCAGTTTTTTCATGTGTAATCAAGTGAATTACATGGTCTCATAATTCAAAAATAAGGTTGAAAAGGCATTACATGTAATGCATTTGATTATTTGTAATAAAGAAATACGTAGACACTAGAAATACTGTAGGTCTTAAGTAAAACTATTCAAAATTTGTATTCTTCAAAAGAAAGAACAGAAGACGGATAACAAAGGGGAATATGTATACTGCCTGCTGAGAAACCGAAATGATCCAAAGGCTCGATATAATCCATATGACCTCCAGGTTGTTTCTGCTCATACAGCCAAGCAGAGCATGCAGTACTGGACTGTAAGTGCCTCTTACATTGTCAAGGTAAGTGCTACATGATATTAGGTTCATAGAACTGCTACTCACATTGAAGTTGCATCAAAGTTTTGATGTGTAAATCAAGCCTGATCTTACTAGACCTATTAACTCATAATTCACAAAGCCACTAGAGAGGCACAAAGGCCTTCAAAGGAAAATGTAAATAAAATCCATTCCAGTAACTTTCACCTTCCTTTATGACCTGTTTAAATCAGTATATTATTTTTAGACTGGCATAAAATGCAATGATATTTACTATATATATCATATTGTATCTTAACATCCAAATTAAATTCCTGAAAGTATTTGTTTTTGTTGTTCTTTTCATTTTTTCTTTTGTTTGATGTTCGATGAATTCCCTAATTCTGTAAATAGAATGCTTGCATAAACATAGTTCTTTATGATAGCAAGGAGCAGGACTGAAATAAACTGACCTGGAATCTTAGAAATGTAAATAAATGTAATGATTAATGATGTAATGAATATAATGATTTACAGTAATTCCTTGAAAACTTCAAATGATCACTTGGAATCCATAAGATTTGTTATAATTTTGTTAATTAAGAGCACCTTATAACTTAAATGGATAGATGCTCCAATGAACAAAGCCATTTTCAGTATCACTCTTCTATGGACATTTGTCAGAACAGACACAATTATTTTAGAAGATAATATTAATGTATTGTTAAATTCAAATCTGCATAGTGCTGTAAACACTAAACATTTAAATGTAAGGATTTCGAAGGATATGAGTATTAATTATACTGTGCACTGGTATGGCTACTAGATGAAAGTAATCTGAAAATAGCATTATGCAAGGATTTTTAAATCATAGATACACACTTCTGTTTATTTGTATTGAACAAGCCTTCTTTAACCAGTATGGGGTTACAGAGAAGCTGGAATAACAGGTTTAAGATGGGATGCACCCTGGACAGGATGCCAGTTCATCACAGGGAACATACAGGCATAAACACACATACTCTTGCACCAGGGCCAATTTGACAATTTTAAGCTGATTAACCTACCAGTAGGTCTTTGGACTGTGGCATGAGACTGGAGAAAACCCACGCAAACACAAGGAGAACATAAAACTCCACATAGATTGCGCTCTAGCTCTGCAAGACAGCAATACCAACCACTTCACCACCATCCTACCCTTTGAATTAAACACTAAATGATAAATAAGATATTAATAAAACGGTCAAATTACCTGCAATTATCTTTAAATATGACCAGAGAAACTGAAATTAAATAAATTGTTTGATGTTTTACAATTAAATTAGAATACAGAAATAGCTGTTTACTGGGGGGAAGAAAAGAATTCCAGTGTAATTGTTTTGTTTTTTAGGTGTCAGCCTTAGAAAAGTGTGAAATTACACGTGTGTTGGAATGGCTGTCTGAGAGAAAGATGTTCAACAAGATCTTCCAATTACCATTATTTACAAAGTTCAGGTTGGTTGAAAGTAATGTCTCAAAGTATACTTTATGTATTTACAGTATACAATACATTCTAACTATGGGTTGAGCACCAGTCAGTGATGATAATAAGCTGACTTCGAAAGCTTTGACTGGTATGCAACAACCTTTCATAATGTCATACTTCAAAAGGATGAACAATTAGCATTGCATAATTAATATTCTAAGTGAAGAAATAATTATGAATTATTTGCACACAAGAGAGATCAAACGAAGGAGTGGTGAATTGTTGTTTTCAGGGTAGGATCTTGCTAGATATCTCTTAATACTAATGAGGGGTCTATTTGTTAAATATAGTATCTGTAGCAAATTAAATTTAAATGATTAAGAATAAACATGTATTGTATTAACAACAGACCTCTTGTTGATTTTAGTTTTGTGAAACGCTCTTCACATTTTAATTATAGTTAATATGTTAATAAGCAAACAGAAATAAATAGTAAAAAATTGAACCTCCCACATATTTCTGATTGCAATCTTTACAGGTTAATACAGAAGGACTGTCTCAGTGTCTCAATAATGCTGTTTAAAATAATGCTGTTTAAAATGTGGGCTATATCTTTGCCTGAGTTACAGTACCTGTAAGAGAGGTGAAATATTGAAGGATCACTATGGCAGCTGGCTAGGATATTATTGCCTCTTTACTTTATAAGGTTGTAGTGATGAACAGGGTTGATTAACTATGGTAATTCCTACAGTATTTATGGTTTTCAGGGGTTTAGACAAAAATGCAGCTAAATGAAAACTAGACTTATTTAAAAAACAATGAAATCCTATGGAGTACAATAAAAGGCACAGTACTTTTGTTTCTTTCAGTTCTTTTGATGCAAACGTTTGCTCTTTGTTTGCTGTTTATTTAAGTGTGTGTTGTATAATGTATATTGTATATTTGCTAAATTTCTTATTTCTGAACAGGATCTGTGGTTATTCTTTGACTTATTTAACCTTGACCTTTTAGAAGATCTAAATGTGGCTGATCTTATTTCTTTAATCATACGTCTGCTCTTCTTCAGAATCTGGAAAGCTTTTTCAGCCTGGAAAATCAATGTTCGGAAATCCAAAGCAAGCAGTTACAAGTAAGTTGTGTAACATATTTAACATTTTAATAGTGATGTGCTTTACTGGAATTTAAGATTAAATCAATTGCAACTTAAGTTAAACAAATTGTGTGACTGACAATCATTTTATTAACTTTGATGACACTGCATGTGTGCATTTGAAACCTTATTCTTTATCATTGAATTTATTTAGTTTTTTGTATTTGATTTATTAATCACTTAAGCAAATTCACAACAAAAATGTGCATTAATCTTCAGTACATACTGTATTGTGAATTCTAAGACACTTGGCATTGCGTAGAAAAAGTTAGTGAACCCCAAGCATTTTGCTGCTCAGGAGTGTGCCACCATTACTTGGTCTAAAGGTTCATATAATGTGGTTTGCCACACATGCTTATTGAATTTTGCAGCATTTAGGGTTAAATAAATGTCGGCCATATTTTGTGTCATGTTTCATTAAGTTAACTATAATTATTAGGACTTAGATTGAGATCTAATAACATTTTAGGTTTCAAATATGTGAAAATCCTAAGGTGTTCACAAACATTGTCTCAGCACTGTAAATCACTTTACAATATTAGTTTTAAAGTTAGTATTTTAAAAAATGTGTGCAATGTTGTTAACTAATGTATATGTGTCACAGAAGAAATGAACTGACCATTTGTTCCTTGTTATGTAATCCATTTCCAAATCTAAGTTAAAGTACAATAGTATGTCCTGTTGTATTCAACCACATGTTTATCTTGGAAAATGTGGTGTATTATTAACTTCTGTTCTCACTTCCCTGGATTTTTAATATGTTCAATAATTGTTCCCAAGCTCAGTGTTCATACAGACATTTATACAGTACATGATGCATTTTTAATTAAGAGCTTTTAATCATTAATGAAAAATAGCAGCCACAGACTTATATACAATTATACGGTCTTGTTCTTGACATTAGTTACATTAGTTTGAAGTTGATGTTAACTTTTTTAGGAAACTGTTGACCAAAGAACTGTTTTTTGCCGATGAAATTCTTCAGAGGTGTTTGATCGACATAAAAGAATTATGTGAGGCAGCCAGCAGCAGTAGTGGAGGGCTTGGATATAAAGACAAAGTCATTGTATTTGTAAAGGCAAGTGCACAGTATTTTTTATTGTATACTTCCGTAAAGAGAACCTTGGACATAACAGAGAGGGAAAAAAAACTGTTTTGATTTCGTCATAGTGTAGTACATTTCATTTTTTTGCAATTGAACATTATTCATATCAAATGTACCCTTTTTCAGCTAAATTCAGGATTCCCTCTATTGTTCTCATGCAGTATGTCAAATTATTCAAAGGCAAATAATGATCACTAATGCTGATGCACAATTAACACTTATGTTGTTTCCTAAATTCATTAAATGTATGCATTTATTTAAAATATTTTTAGTCATAAATCAAACAAAATGAAATGCATTAAAAAGGTTTGCCAGCGTTTAATCAATATCATTGAAACTGAACAATACAAAAGCAGTTGAAAGTATGTTGCGTACAGTCTGTCTGCAGTTTTACACTCTATTCACTGACAACTTGTTTATTCATTGTAGCTGGATAGATCATGTACATATTCCCTTCAGAAGTTTTGTGAAGTGCAGGCTCTTCAGCGTAAATATGCACTCAGTCAGCTTGAAAGTCTTCATGACAAGGTTACTGAACTGATTAGACTGTCTTTCCTGAAGGTAATGTTCCTTTCTTTTGACAATACTTTACCTTAAATAAACTCCCAAAGAGAAAAGCTGCTGTTTTCAACCTCCTTTTTTCAATGAAAGCAATATTTAATTGACATGTAGTTCAGGTGGGTAGCTGCACCAGCATGCATAGGCTGCAAAGGAACAAGTAAGAGGTTTATTCCATGCTGAAAAAAGAAGAAAGAAAACACAACGTTTTACTACAATTTTATACAGTATTTACAGTGAGTTATTTTATAAAGGCCCTTTTATACTGTATGTTTAATAACTATTATTTTGGAACACCTGCTGTAGCTTTCTTGTGGTATGGAATGTTAATTCTGAAAATCTTTGCATGTTTCTTTTTAATTTTCTTTTTATTCTGGAAGGTGGCAGAAATAAAAGGTGCCGAGAGGCTGTTTCTGCCTGCGTCCATGGACCCAGAGGATAGACCCTTGTATGCAAAGATCGCTGAGTGGCGCAGTATTCTAAATAGGTTTGACAGGTTCCTGAAACTGGTGGATAAGATCTTTGAGGAGATGCTTTGCCGTTTAGTGAAAACAGCAGTTCACCTTCTTTTAGATTTTCTCAATGCCTCTTACAATAATGAACTAGCAGATGGCAAACGAAAAAAAGACTCAGGGTAAGAGTGTTATGTATTTCAAATTATAGACAGATAGTATTTAGACTTTATACATTATTTCATTTTCAGGAGTTGCCATTATAGAAAACATCCATTTTAGGATGTATGCATACTCATCCATTCTCACTAATTGTTATGTACACGTTTTAACAATTGCCTTATGAAAATATTTTCAGTTTGAGAAAGTTAGCTTTGTGAGACGATGTTACCATAAGTGTCTTCCTTTGCAAAATTCCTGTCATTTTAAATTTTAGCATTTATTACTTGTGGATGGCTACCATTTAATAATGTGTTTTATATAAATAAAATATTTGTGAAAATCTGAAAATGAGACTGCAGTCAGTGATATTAGAAGTTTCCTGAAAATGTATCTGTCAGATGTTTGTTACACATTTGTTATGAACGTTTTAAATTGTTGAATCTTCTTTTCTTGGCAGGAAAACAAATGCTAATATTTCAAGTCAAGATCTAGATATTAGAAGTTTCCTGAAAATGTATCTGTCAGATGTTTGTTACACATTTGTTATGAACGTTTTAAATTGTTGAATCTTCTTTTCTTGGCAGGAAAACAAATGCTAACATTTCAAGTCAAGATCTAGAAATGGGTAACAATGGCAAAGAGCTATGTACTCATTTGGATGCACCACCTAAAATACAGTCAAGTGAACCAAAAACTTTTAATCATATTGATGAGGTAATTACTTACACTTCATAATTAAAATTGCTGTACATAACACATTGCAAATGTTTGAGACCATTATAGATCATATAATGAAATTATTGTACCAAAAACATTAGTAAAAATTGTCATTATTTGGATATTTTTGTGACTTCCTGAACTGTAAAAGGCTCTTGTCAAATGAAGTATTTAATGATTTGGAAGTGCTAATGGAAAACTTACTATAAGAGGTTTCAATGCTGCCTCTAGATGTCTTTAAATATGAGATGCCTGATTTTCAGAATATTTTTAAATTATTTTAAAATTATTCAGGCTGTTTAATAAATCTGTCTGGAAGCAGTAATTTCCTGATATGACTTCTGTTTTTCATTTGGGTTTTCCAGTTATTTATACACAGTATACTCCTGAAATTTGGAATTAGCATTTGTTGGCCAACTCAGGAGGGATCATCTGGAGAAGTATTTAGATTTTCCTCTGAATCATACACTCTCCAAGGCCTCTCCTATGTTTTCAAAGTGTGAGCCTCATAATTCCCTAGATACATAGATTGATGAAGTGATGAGATAACTGGCACAAAGAAAGTCAGAGGGGCTGTGTTACGACCAGCGGAGATCAACCACACGAGAACTAATCAGCACCAGCAGTGGGTTAAAGATAACAAGCGCCGCCACACATGTTAATTAATCAGCACATGCTCTACTGTGCGGCACGCAGCACTATTTAAACCATCCAGACCCGCTTCCCGCTGCTCAGTAATTGAGTCTTCTCTTAGAGAGCTCTACCCCGCCTTTGTTTGTACCTCGCTTTCTATACTTCTCCCGGTTACTGAACTACCCTTTTGTCCCTCAACTTTGTACCTCGCACCTTGCCTACTGATTTGGATTGTACGCCTCTCTTCGCATCTCCTGGATTTCGAGCTACCTCCCACCTTTCGACCATGATCTCGCCTGATATTTTGGATTGTACACCTGTTTCGATATCTACAGTACCTGCTCCTGCGTCTGCATAGGATCTGTATACCTCTTCATTAGGGATTCCTTACAGGCTGTTGCTTTGCTGCTGACTAAATCTACACTGCCTGACCTCAGCACTCTCAACCAGTTGTGATCTTTAACTTTTGGAATTCAAGTCACAGAGGGCAATTGACAAAGCCAGTCTAAACTCTTTATCCTGAAAATATAGTTCAGTGTTGAACTGTGCAGTATTATAGGTGCAAGCCTTTGCTGCTTGAGTTGCAAAATTCAGAATGATTTTTTTTCTGCAAGGCTGATGTACAGAACATAATATTGAGCATACAGTACCATGTGATACGCACTTAAAAGTAACTTTAACAAATTCAGCAACATGGCAAAAAGTTAGCACTGTTTTATCTCCATCTGTTATCCTAACCATATAATTAAAATTGTGTAGGAAATCATCTCTCTGCTGTTACATTTACTAGAGTATTAATAAACAATTCCAACATTTATACAGTTTGACTGTCTGATTTTAATGTCTATATTGTCTATAGGTTTTGGCAGATATTAAGAAAAATCAGCAGCTGGAGCTGGTATCTGAGGCAGTCTTTGAAGTTAATCTTGTGCTCACCATCCTCAGTGAGACTGAAGTCCATAAAGATTACCACAACCTGCATACAAAAGTCTCAGCTACTGTATTACCTGATGGTACTATTGGTAAACCATATAAAACTGAAAGTACTGTATGTCTTCTGAAAAATTACAAAACAGCAGTAGTGAAAAGATGGAAATGTGATTTTTAATTTAATATTTAAATATTTGGCTTTGTGTGAGAAAGTGCTAGCAAAATATATCTGAAAATCATAAATATACTGAAATCTATTCAATTTTTATAAGAAAGTAGCATAGTTTTATTGTTCTTGAGTTTTTATGGTTAACAATCTGCAAATAGTTAAATAGTTAAAAAGTTAAACAAGTAAATACCATATTTATTCAATCGTTTTTAATCTCTTAGATAGTCATGCTGTGATTCAAATGAATATGTATAATTGCAATGATGGGATTGTTCTTTGAAGTTTTTTATAAATGTTCTGAAGCATTTTTAAAAAATATTTCTAAGGTAAAAGCATCAATTTAGCAATCAGCAGTAGGAAATATGTATCATAAAGGGAATGTAAGAACAGTGATAGACATCCCGTGAATAACACTGGTATCAACAATTTCTCAATTAGATTTGAATGGTCTTGAAAATTCTGAAGAAACAGGTGATGAAGAACGGGTAGATATTGAAGAGTGTATTACAAGATGGTATGTACTGTATATACTTTTGATAATTTAATAAGCACAGGTTTCACCAAATGCTTTTCCTTGTATGTGAAGCTCTTAATGTACAGTACATCCTTCTGTGTATAATTTTCTTGAAGCCATATACTCTCTTAGTTTTAGTCATTAAAAGTATTTTTTGTCATGTTTCTTTTCAGAAGTCTTGTAATCAACATTGATCTCATTGTTGTAGAATAATAGATTCTGACATTCTGTAAAATACAATTTATTGCAACTGTTTTCTAAGAGCAGTTTTTGTATGTGTCTTTTTTTCAGCACTCAAAAACCAATGGTAACTATGTCTGTTCAGCCCTCCCTTGGTGACTTTTCTCTAAAAATACAAGAATTACTCCATGAATTAGAACAAACAATAGGTAAGAAAGCACAGAAATAAGTTACAAAAATTGAAACAAATTCCTAATTAATATGTAACAGTAAGATGTGTATTTTCGGTTTCCCTTTTCTGAATCAGTCAAGCTGACATCCTTCGGTAAGGACCCTCAGCTGCTGCCCTTCCACTCCAAACCCATTTATGACCTGAAGCTCTCAGTAGACAAGGAGCAAGACCTGGAGCAACAGCAAAACCTAAGACCATGGCCAAATTTAGAACTACTGCTAGGGACTGATTCCTCCTACCATTCTGATGTAAGTATGCAAACATGGGTAAATTAATTAGTTGGTCAAGAGAAGATCTACTGTGTATGTTACAAGCTGGCAGATGGTATGGTCAGAATTAGAAGTAATACAAGCTGTACTGTACATCTGAGCTTGTATTATAACAGCTTGCAGGTGATGTCTTGTGGAATTCTTTTCCATTCCTCACAGATAGCTTGGATAAGTATGAACCTTTTCCCTGAGTCACAGATGTTACATTTTATCCCAGCCCATCTTACAATGGGCTTCAGTTATGGCGAGTAGGACACTCAAGACATACAGTAACTGTCACATTCTTACCTTGCAAGAAAGTTATTGTTAATAAAGCAGTACGTGAAAATATGTTGCTGATTTAGAAGTTCATTACATCAGGATTAGCCTACGGGAAAGGCAGCATATGAGGTCCCAGGATTTGATCAAAATAGTGCTGTCACATCAGGCTACAGTACCTCAGTGGTGTTCTGTAGTGAGAAAACTCTTCTGAACTACAATTAGGTCCATTACAGTTCATTAAAATCTGTCTTAGCTAAAAGTCATGATGCAGTATGTGGTCTACCAGATGACCTATCACTAATGGACACTCAATACAGCATTGAAATTGCTGAACTTGAAATTGTTCTCTTATTAATGCTGGACATTTTAGTAAATTTATACACAGTTATATACTTCATTACTTGTGTCCAATCACCTCTTTCACAAATGAGGTATTTAAGTGCTTACGCAACAAAGTAACTCATGTGTATCAAAAGTATACAGTACACAGAAGCATATAAATAAAGTTCAGAATCTGCCACACTTTGTGTGGAATATTTAGTGCCTAATATTAAACATACTGTAATTTCAAGCATTTTTAAATGAAATATAATACATTTTTATTAAGGTTCAATATTTTATCATAAGTTTAATAGTATGTACTGTGTATAGTAATGTACTATAGTATTGTAATCTGTCCACTTATTTGAAAGTCAATGTGTAGCAATCAGATAAATTTAGTTTTTTGCAGTAATCTGTTCATTGCAGGAATATCTTCTTCTGTAGTGGTAAACAGTAGAATGTCAAATACTTTACAATACATCCCAGTAAGTGCTTAAGTAAAAAGCTAATAAACTCATACATTTTTAGATTACAGATTCCTTGAAGAAGATGGAAATGGGGATGAAAGCTGTTGCAGCTTACAGCCAGAGGTTTCAGATGTTCTGTGGAATGGTAGAAAAAGCCATGCTGACTGATGTAAACGCATTTATGGCAGGAGAACATTGGGCACCCCTCGATTTGAGGTCTATTTTGGCTTTACACACAGAGCATGTTCAGCAGATAAAAAGGATGAATACTGAAAAGCGAATAAATATGATGATGGTAATGACTCACCAATACCAAAAAGACTGTTTACTGCATCCAGAGGCTGTGGTCTCCACCATTCACTCTTTGCTGCCTGTTTTTGCCAAGGAGAGAAATCTGGAACTGATGGAGGTACAGTACTTGCTGATGAAAATATTTTGCTTTCATTTGGTTTTTAATATAAAACTACAACAAAAGATTCCATTCAATAATAAACAACAATTGTAATGGTGACCCAGTTCCTTAGATTATTAGACCAACTATTTTGGCAGAGAAGAAAAATACATTTCAATATACTAGTTTGCAGTTACTGTATAATATACAGTACATGTCTTAGAGTTGTAGTATTTTAACATAAATGCAATCCCATTTTCTGTCTACATCTTGCAATTTTGAAAGGTTTTTGAAAGGTTCTATAAGGATATTATATAAGGATAGCTGTTTTTCTTCATGAAGATTCCCTGTTAATTCAGTTCAGAATTTTCTTGGTCCAGTATTGATGCTTTTTTCTTTTTCTAGTGAATATGTTGTTAACATTTAGTACTGAATGATACATAATTACATCATTTTCTGTTCCGTCATTCTTGATAAATTTTGATAAAAAGCTAGGCCTTGTTTTGCATGTGCCAAATTTTATGAACCCTCATGTCTATCTGGTCGATGTCCCATGCATCATTTCCAACTCCTTTTAACATACAGTATATTAAGTGGGGATCAGTTGAAAGCTCACTCTTCTCCAGCTTCATCAAGTGATTCATGAAGTCCCCCAGCAGAACCATAGAGTTGGTAGGTTAAAACATATCAAGCACTGACAGTTTACCCACTGGCTCCAAGAATGTTAAATACTCTGAACTACTGTACTTTAAGGCACATGGGTCCGAACAAAAGTAACTTTTCCTCTCTGACACTCAGTTTCATCGATATGAACCTTGTCCTGTCAGGATAAACTCCAACTATTCAGCACCCAGCTGGGGGCTTTTGGGAATCCTCAAACCCATGTGTAGAACCATTCCGCAACAGGAAAGAGACCACCCCTGTCTGAGACGTTTGGTTCAAGAGCTACTGATATGTGTACAGTACCTGTGAGACTATAAGTAGTTAGTACCTCTCCACCTCTTACACTAGCTCCAAATTCTTACCCACCAGTGTATTCCTACATCCAAAAACCTGGTCACCAGTACCAAGAGCCAGGCTTTTGTGATCTGTCTCTCTCTGTCATATCAGCATTGCATCCAAACGTTTACTCTTTACCTCATGTTTGGTAAGCACAGAAGACAGCTGCATTTATTTCAGGTTGTGTCCAATTGTGTTACATGATTTACCCAGCCACCAGGCACTCACAAATAAACACCACCCCTAAGTCTGGCTCCAAGGATCAGTGCTTGGATTCCTGTTCTTGTTGAGGTTCTCAGCGATTTGGTTAGAACTGTTATGAGGAATGGATGGTTTTTGTCTGGGATCTCAACTATCAAGAGAGATTTTACCAGGAGCACTAGGCTGTGTTAATTTAAATTCAAAACCCATGCACAACTGCAAGGTAGCTATTCTCAGGGAACCAGAAAAATTAAACATATTTTTGTTTTTCTGTCAGGTTATTACAGGAGCTTTGAAAAAGTTGGATAAAGAAATTGAAAATGTAGAAGAGTTTGTGGATCACCTAACCTTCCTGGGGCGTATCACTCTGGAAATGCCTGCTTTGGAAAGGCAGTATGATTTTGTCACCCAGTTATATACCATTGCTAAAGATTACAGAATCCCCATTTCTCCAGAGGAACTGGCCTTGTACCAGATCCTAGTCCCCAGCTTCCAGCACCTCAAATCTACTGTCCTCATCTGTGAAACTAACAGAGATGACAACGTTGTTAGGTTTAGTGGTGATTTGGGAGTGTACCTAAACCGTCTCCGATATGAACTCATACATGTAAAGACAAAGGTAAGCTAAACCAACATGGCTTTTAACACAAAAAAAACATAGAAATTAAGTAATGGACACATTCTTGTGAAATATTCCGTATATACAGTACAGTACATACAAATGATAGATCCACAAGCATATACAGTCTAAAATGATTTTAAAAAAATATACATACCTACTGATACCTAGTCAAAATAATTACATGAATTTACATGATATTGGAATTAAATTACTTTTTACCTTTCATTGTTTCATTATTAGGTGAATAATCCAGTCCTCCTTCATTCTGAAACGTCTCCAAATGTTGCCAAAGAAATCATCCAGTCTTTAACAGAGGAAGTTGAAATATTTTCCCAAAAAGCCCACAGTTACTCAAGTTACAGGGAGCTTTTGGGGAGTTCCATTTCAACTAAGAAATCATTCACAGCTCTATCGGAGAAGGGGCAAGCAAGTCAAGCAAGTGGTGCCAGTGCCATGGCAGTAGAAGCTGAGTTGTCTGATATTGACTATCACTTGACTTTACGAAAGCTTTTATGGGAAATGCAGGAGGAGTGGGACAGGCTGTACAGGCAGTGGAAGGACACCAACTTTGATCATCTCAACGTGGATGAACTTCAGAAAGATGTTAACAGGATCACACAGACTATTTACATGTTAGAGAAAGGTAAAGTATTCAGACAAGAACATTCACCCACTACTTTATCCAATTCAGGGTCACGGAGGAATCAGAAATTATCCTGGCAAGCAGCAGGCTCATTGCTGTGCACACCCTGGATAGGATGCCAGTCCATCTCATGGCAAACACAGAAACACACACACACACCAGGGCCAATCTTCCTACAAACCGATTAACCTACAGTACCTGTGTCTTTGTACTGTGGGAGGAAACTAGAGCACCCAGAAGAAACCCATGCGAACATGTGACATCACATGTGACATCACACACTGAAGAAACGACTTCCTTATTAATACCTGTGATAATTTTTTAAAGGGAATTAACTTTTATTCTGGTGCAAAAATGTTAATAATTCAACAATCAGAGAAAAGAATAAATGTATTTTCTGTTTCCAAGACTTTAGAGTAATTATAAGAAACTGTGTCCAGAGAAATCATTGCATATAAAATGAAAGTTTTCTTAAGTTAACAGACAACACAAATATCTGTTCAATCTGTATAGTTTTCCTAGTTCAGACAGGGCACATTGGGTTGACATAACACTAAGATATATCAATAATGTAATATGTCTTAAAAGATAAAATGTTTGTTTAAGGATGCAAAATTGAAGGTATTACAATGGAAAAAAATATTGATCTCACTGTGCACTTGTCAATACATATTGTTTAAAAAATGAATTAAACTATATTGAAAACAAATCAAGTTATGTCATTTTGCTCCAATATTATGTTGTGTTCTCTAAATATTACCTTAATGTTATACTTTCCTTTGTAAATTTATTATGTAGAATATTGTCTCTAACAGTTATATAAAAAGCATATTAAAAGATCCAGAATATTTATAGGAAATAAATAATTAATTCAGTTATTATTGAAAGCATTTGCAATATCTGTAAATTTTATCTTTTATTTTTTCCCATTTAGGTTTGCCAGAAAATGATATTGTTCCACATCTAAAGCAAAGAGTGATGGATTTCAAACTCTGTTTACCTATAATCGTGGCACTTAGAAACCCCTGTCTCCGTCCCAGGCATTGGGAAGACATTCAGTACAAAATGGGAAGATCCTTTATTAAAGAGGAAAATTTCACATTGGGAAACTTGCTGGAATTAAGGGTAACTGATATCTGAGCTAAAAGAAGAATATGTGCTATTTTGGCTACTTTGGCTACAGGTTTCCATATATTATTGTGGTATTATGTATTACATTATGTAATGGTCTGCTCACTGTAATTGCAAAAGGCAAGCATTTGATGATTTCACAAAATTGTTTTTAGCAAGCCCTTCTCAATTTTTATTCTCTACAAATGACTCTTCATTCAGCTTTTCTATTGTCTGTTAAATACAGTTTTTTGACACTTTATGAAAATTACATATTTATACAAATAGCACTTTGGATACATATACTGTATAATTAAAATATTCAGAGATATATAGTGGAAAAGCTTGAAGATTTATATCAGTAGACAGTTGATTTCTACCATTATAAAAAACAGTTTGGTTTTGGTTATATACAGTAATGTTAATTTCTATTGTCAAATGGCAAATGTCCATTGTACTGTACATACAAAGCTTACAACATTTGTTTCTTAAATAATGTAGGTATTTCAATACCAAAATATGATTGGAGACATATCCAGCACTGCTACAAATGAGGCCACACTAGAAGCTATTTTACATAAGGTTATTGACTTGTGGAAAAGCACAGATTTCCGACTCATCAGCCACCAGACTGACACCTCAGCTGTCAAGGTCATAGCTTCAGCTGAAGATGTTATGACACAGCTAGAGGAGAGTCAGGCTACCATCTTGACACTCAAGTCATCACTTTATGCAAATCCAATTAAGGTATGTAGGTACTGTATATTTATTCAACATGAAATGATCTTTTTATCTATAACCAGTAGTTATTTTGAGCTCATGTAAATACTTTTACTAAGTTAAATGTGTCAGCAGATTAGGTTTTTCTCAAATCATGATAATTATGCATATTTGTTAATAGAAATGGTCTTCATCTGTGGCCTGAATGAGTGTGTGGTGATGGTCAGCATTACCGAGAATGTCAACTGAATCAAGATATTGTATAAATAGAGTATTATGCAGAACAACTGCATTTTGTAGGAAAAAATGTTACTTGTGTTCACAAAGCAGTCCCAGTGAGAAAATGTACAGGAGATGTACAAAATTTAGTTTTCTTTTACAAACACGAAATTACACAAAAACAAACAGTTCAAAGTATAGCACTGTCCAGAACACAAGTATTAGATGGGCACTAAGTCTGCCAGAGTCATAACCTTTTACAAAATAGTAAAATCATATAGTTGGATCCTACTATTAACTGACAGCTTGGACTATTATCCTATTTCACAGGTACGGTAAGTATGTTATTTCCTTTTCAATTGTTGTTCACATTTTAGTTATAAAGCTTTGTGAAGGGAACCACTAGACAAAGTAAATGCTAATAATTTACGTTGTCCTTTATAGTCGGTGAATGTACAGTATTATTACACTAGATAAGGAGTGGTATACAATATAAATAGATTTAATTTTACTTAGATGCCCAATGTTTTCATTTGCAGCTTCTGATACAAATATGGCCTTTGCTATAAGATGAAAGTGTTTGCTATTTATATTTAAAGCTAACATTTACATTTGTGTTATAATAGTGTGCACATATTCAGAAGGGGGCAGTTTCTTTGTAAAATACCAACTTTTGAATACTACACATCCAACTAGATTCTTGTGAAAGAGGCCAAATTTTGTGTATTTTCTAGGCAGCAGTAAGACTAGTGAGGGTATGATATCCTCACTAGAATTTAATTTGCCGTTACCTATCATTGATGATGATAATAATAATAATAATAATAATAATAATAGTTTGTTCTTTTCTTTACTGTACCCTGTAGCAACAGATAGATGAGTGGGAGCGTAAACTGAATCTCTTTGCTCATACATTAGAGGAGTGGATAATGTGCCAGAAAAGGTGGTTATACCTACAGCCAATCTTCTCTGCCAAAGACATCCAAAGGTATGTTCAGAAGAATGATCAATTTAGCAAAAACATTTAGTTTGTGACACTTCTAAGCCAGAAAGTTTGACATTATGGCTTCAGATTCATTTCTGTGAAAAACACTAGGGGTTGAAATTTATAACTGAAAATAACGTTTAAAGTTTCAAGGAGATCTGCAGTCAATGGCAATTAAATTGGAAACAATCAAATACATACAATAAAATTCTAATCTTTTAGAATTGTACTGTACATGAGCCTTGTTTAGCTTTGTAATTGTGCATACTGTAAGTCATGAATCAAAATGGTCCAATTCTTTATTTATGATTATAAACATGGTCCAATTATTTATATACAGTATGCTTATATGTATCTAAATGCATATTGTATATAATAATAATTGCTAACACTTACATAGTGCTTTCCTGCACACTCCACTCAAAGCACTTTACAGGTAATGGGGACTCCCCTCCACCACCACCAATGTGCAGCATCCACCTGGATGATGGATGCGACAACAGCCATAGTGCGCCAGAACGCTCACCACACATCAGCTATTAGTGGGGAGGAGAACAGAGTAATGAAGCCAATTAATAGCTGGGTATTATAAGAAGGCCATGATTGGTAAGGGCCAATGGGAAATTTGGCCAGGACACCAGGGTTACACCACGCTTTTTGAGAAACGCCAGTTTCAGTGATCACAGAGAGTCAGGACCTCAGTTTTACACCTCATCCGAAGGACTGTGCCTTTTTACACTATAGTGTCCCAATCACAATACTGGGTCATTAGGACCCACAAAGACCGCAGGGTGAGCTTCCTCTGCTGGCCCCATTAACACCTCTTCCAGCAGCATTCTTAGTTTTTCCCAGTAGTTCTCCTATCCAGGTACTGACCAGGCTCACACCTTTGTATCTTCAGTGGGTTGTCAGTTGTGAGTTTCAGGGTGATATGGCTGCTGGATATAGATACAGGTACTGTATGCATAGATTATAAACACAAATACTGTACTTTCATATATACCATTGTGAATAATTATTTGTATGTATGGTATCGGTATTCATTTTTTTGCTGCTGACACTCACATTTGTTTGCATGAATCCTGACATTATTAAAGCAAAATTCTTTCCTTGCTTAAATGGCTTTAAAAAATAGATACAATATTTTTATACTGGGTTGGCTATCCTTATCATCTCCACATTTGTATTAACTGTGATTAGATTACTGATTGTGTTTGAATTAGTTCAAGTACTTAGGTTAAACGTTGATGTCATCTTTGATCTTGCATAAGTCTTGCAGTAGAGACTCACATTTACAATGTTGTGAAGGTTTTTTCAGTTTCATAGCAACGTTTGTGTCAGATAACATTTTTCTTTAATTCGGAGAAGCTAATGAATGTATTTATATATATGAAAGTATAGTATTTGTGTTTATAATCTATGCATACAGTACCTGTATGTATATCCAGCAGCCATATCACCCTGAAACTCACAACTGAGTTGAACAACACCATCATGAACAACGCCTCTCATCTGCTTCATGGGACTGTTACTGGGCAGTGGAGCACATTTAGCAATAGACTGTTCCAGCTACGGTGTTCAAGGGAACGTCTCCACAGGTCTTTCCTCCCGGCGGCTGTCAGGGTGTATAACGCTGCCCTAGGCTAGGACTGTTAGCCTTTCATCTGCTCGTCTATGGACAGCATGTTTACTCCATTGTAGTTTTTGGACAATCAGTCTTTATAAACCTATGCACATTTTGCACATATTTTATTGTTTTTACAGTGACTATGATCAGCACATTTTGCACACACCTATGTATTTATTTATTTTTATTTATTTTGTTGTCTTTTGTTTTATAACTATTCTGATGTCTGTTTTGCTTTTCTTGGGTTTGACTGCTGTAACACATCAATTTCCCTACGGGATTAATAAAGTATTATCTATCTATATTTCAAACACACAGATTGTTAAGAACTTGTATTGTACAGTATATGCATGTCTTGTTTGAACTAGTTTGCACTGGCTCAGAAACCTAAAACATTGCAATTAACTTTGAATGGTGTGGCTTCATAATCCTTTATTATGTTACATTAAGATTAGCAAAATTGGATTCGATTTTAGGGCTTAGCTTTCTAAAAATGGATATACTTAAAATAAGTGTTACAAAGAGACAAAATTCTGCGGACTAGTTTCCTGAAAAAACAAATACTAAAAAGGTGAATCATAAGTAGTGAAAGTGTGAGTTCTATAAAATCCTATAGCAGTGGTTACTACTATGAGTGGATTTAATCCCTCATAAACAATATTATATTATATAAAGTAAGTCCTAGTCTGAGCAGGAGGAATTTTCAGGTACTGTACCTTGTTACTCACATTTTGGGTGTGTCTTTGAAATTTTTAGAAAAAGACCTCCACTTTTTTGTCCGTTATTCTAAAAAGGGGTATTCCCTTGTATCATTTTGTACTCTTCCTAGATTACAGCTCTAATCAGGGCCGCTTATAGCTGCAGAAACAGATCTGTTTAACTGGTTAAATAGATGTTTGCTGTGTGTTAGGAGCATTCACTCTCCTCATATCATTGGATCTAGGTCTATCTTGGTTTTTATGTGACGCTTTCTACTGCTAAGGTCCATGATTTGAGGGAAGGCGTACGTGGCAGCTTGACATGCTGCTGTTGATCCTCACGTGGGGCAGGGATCAATGCTTTTTTAGGGGCGGAGCGGTGGCTCTGTGGCTGGAAGGTTGTCGGTTCAAATCCTGTTACTGGCAGAGGAATCCTACTCCATTGGGCCCCTGAGCAAGGCCCTTAACCCCAACTGCTCCAGGGGTGCTGTACAATGGCTGACCCTGTGCTCTGACCCCAAGCTTCTCTTTGTCTCTCATGGAGAGCAAGCTGGGGTGTGTGAAAAGACAAATTTCTAATGCAAGAAATTGTCTATGTTTAATAAAGTGATCTTATATGGTCAAAGCCCTGTTGTGTGATGCTTCTATCACAACTGTCCAATCTGTTTTTTTGAGATTCTAGGGTTGGTAACTTGGAGAAAGGTATTGCCATGCCATGGGACATTCTTGTCTGTGTTCCTTTTTCTTAATTAGTTCTTGGTGATTGTTTAATATTCATAATAACCCCTTCATAAAATAAAACAAGGGTATGAAATTATTTTTTTTTTGTTGAAGAAAACCTCAAATCTTAGGTTTGTCTAGTAATTCAGTTCAATTAATTGTAAAATTGTAGAAAAAACTGCAAAACATTTCATTTGGAATCTCTTGCTGAATGTACCGTAATATCTTTGAGTATTAGAGAAGTCAAAAAGGAATTTAAAACATGATATTTTCTATGTTTATAGAGAACGCTGCAGTAACAGAGACAATGGAGAATAAGAAATTAGACAGCCAGTAATTCCTCATTTCACAGGTTACGTACATGGATTCCTTCTCAGTGGTTTCAAAACAGAATGTACATACTGTAAGATAGCTACCAGTTTTAAATAAGGACACTCTTTTGGGATTCTGTACATGCAGCCCCAGAAGGTGCTGTAGGTATAACAGAAGGTCAACTTCTGTTCTGTTATATCCTACACACCCATTTAAATATTTTCTGTATCTGTATAAAAAGCATGACATCTGCGCCCCCATCTGAGACTAAAATCTGTCACAAGCATATGCTAGAAAATATGGTGATCTGTAAGTAGCATTTATGCTATGACCATGTGTGATCAACTGCCTGGACTACTGTCAGTAGCTTTTCAAAAATGAACTGTAGTTCAAGCTGTCGCGTATAGGTTCTATTTCAGTTTATCTGAAGTGATACAAATGTGTGGATCAAGTTACAACTGAACTATGTTTCATAGCTTGTAACACATACTGTACACTACAGCCTAAACACTATACACACTTTTTGGCAGTAGCTCAGAGGGGACATGCTGCCATTCATTAATTCACTCATTTGGAATTCATAGGAAACTAGAGAGTACATAAGGGTTTACTAAGAAATTATTTACAAGATTATCCAAAAAAAGATTATTCACTCTCTTCACAATTAAGCATTTAACTGGGAAAACATGCAAATAAAACAACTTTGAAGTTTTTAGAAAAAATGCCAGCTTTCAAATGTCAAGTTTCCTGTTTTTAAATAATGAGAGAAGCTAGTGTTCCAAGTGGTTTTATTTCATGCATCTCAAAGAGCATTCGAGTTGCATATGTTATTGAAGATGTTTTGTGCATTGACAAGATTCAAGTGCTTGTTATCCTATTAAGAATAAACAATTAACAATGCAAAATATGTAGTTCATTGTGGAACAAGCAATATGTAATGCATGGAAAAAGAAAGTAACTGCAGATGCTCTAAAGAACACTAACGTATCTGTTAACTATGGACAGTTATTTGTCTTCGATGATGATGGAACTGCTGATGGCAGCAACGGAATGAATTCTGAAGTTTTCCCTGTGTAAAAGAAAGTGCTTCCAACACTCTGCAGCACTTCAATATGCAACATGACAATAACCCAAAACATATAGCCAATACCACCAAGGACTTCATAAGAAGAGAAAAGAAGAAAGTCTTAGACTTTCTTAAATTGAACTCACATGCCGAAGAAAATATTAGAACGACTTGTCAGGATAAAGGACAAGAGGAGACCATGTAGGCACACAAGCACCTGCTTTTATTTTCTTTTTCAAAAGCCAAAACACCAGAATTTACACACACATTAGGGGACAAACAGAACACACACACAGGTTTAGGGCGGAAACTCTTTAACAGACTCTACACACTTAACTTTTGTGACACTAAGCTTCAGAGAACACTTTAGTTAACACAGGTCGATGACATGAGCAGGGTCAGTTGCTGGTCATCTACGGACCCCCGGACTCCCCCCATTTACAAATGTTTTGATTGCATTAATTTAAAAATGTACTAGTATAATCTTAAATGTTAACACATTTTGCACAGACAGCTTCCAGCCGAAGCAAAGCTATTTTTAAAAGTGGATCAGACTTGGAAGGATATAATGCAGAGGACTGAAGAAAGACCCAATGCTCTAAAGGCTGCCACTAGTCCTGGAGTTTTGGAAATACTGCAAGCTAGCAACATGCACTTGGACAAGATACAGAGATGTCTCGAGGTGATTTTGTGTTATTTGAAATGCTAATTCAGAACCTAGTGGTACATGTATTAACTAAGATAGATCAGGAATTAAATGCATAATATTGGATCTAACTTTCCAAATGTGTTGTACAACTATGACTCCTGGTTCTTACAGCTTAGTAAGAATCTTTGGTAGAATATCTGATAAACTCCCCCTTTTCCAATTAAAATAGAGGGGTCTAAGACAAAATCTCTTTACCACAACAAAAAATTATTTTTAAATGGTATGTAACATTAGTTTTAGATTGTTATATGCCTTGGTAATAACCATCAAAAAGCTAAGGGTAAAAATCATGAAGTGCATGATTGAGTAATTTATATGATTATTTCTGCAGGACTACCTGGAAACAAAGAGAATGGTTTTCCCAAGGTTTTACTTCCTTAGCAGTGAAGACCTGTTGGATATTTTATCTCAAAGTAAAAACCCAAACGCTATTCAGGTACCACATGAGAAAGAAAATGAAAATATGTGATATACAGTGTGTCATATACTCTAGAAAAGTGTGTGTAAAGGCTAATTCTGAATTTCTGCAATAAGTAGAAATTGTTTCTCTGTATGTGATGATTAAAATATATAGTAAGGTTGCAATTGGTTTTCTAATGAATAAATCGTATAATTAATTTAAAAATAAGAGCTTTTGAAGTTGCAAAAGGGTGCAGACAATGGAATGGTAGGATTTTACAGATCTATCCATGCTGCTTTATTATTTATATCTTATACTACAATTTAAGGAGGTAAATTTGTGTTCTTGTATAGTGTGCTATAGTGTGAATAATATATATAGTGACATTTTATTTAAAATCATAATCTAAACAACATTTTTAATCTGTACAAAACAGAAGAATTCAAGTGATTTTCTTAAGTGTATTTTCTAGTTTTACTCATATAATTAAAATGATTGCTTTTTAAAATACATTTATAACTACTACTATGTTTAAAAACCATAAACCACAAATCACACTCCATATTAAATTATTAATACTTAAATCACATTAAATAATCTTAAATACATTTTATGTTGACACATGATTATTTAGTAGACATACAGTACATACAGTATCTGCTCTAATACAGTACTTATTATTATTTCAGATTTTTATATGATTCTGTTTGTGTTTTATTTCTTCTTTTTCAGCCACACTTGGCAAAATGCTTTGACAATGTCCATTCGCTGGACATCCAGGATCAAGCTAAAATTCATCCAGTTGTAGCAATGCTAAGGTCTGCAGAGAATGAAACAATACCCATGCCAAAGTATGTATTCTATAAATGGCATATAAGATTGCAAAATACAAGTGTAGAGAGTTTTCAATGGAACTGAAATCATGCTTATTGCAAATATTTGTTCTTAGTTTTGGAAGATTGAAAGATACAGATGTTTTAATCTCTACAGGTTTTGCATGAAGGGAGACTTCTGAGACCTTCAGAATGTTAGTATTATACAGTATAATGGTTATTGTAAAGGCCATCCATAATGAATTTTTGGTACACTTTGGACCAGTGTACAGCAGTATTTTAAAATGTAACAACTAAAATTCAACAACTAAAACAAGGTGGTCCAATAAAAAAACTAGTTTTGCACATTCCTCCAATGTCTAATGTGGAACAAATACTGTACATAAGTTCATTAAGGAAACTATTTTATAGCCTACTATAGAGGTAAATGTGCATTCTTGCAACCTTTTTTAGACAGGTGCCATGCCTGACGTAGCTCAATGTATTTATAAAATCAAATTAATTATTAATAATTAAAAAACTAAGTTCAATAAGATCAATTAGTAGTAATACAATACTTTTTGTATGTGTGTATATACAGTTTGCATACACAATATACAGAGAGACATTAAAAATGCAACAAATGCTATTGGTTCCAATACTGATGTATTGAATACAGTGTATATTAATTTATAGTTACTTTCAAAAGCTATTATGAACGAAATGCTTGGTCGGTTGTTTGAGAGAGAAATACATCCACCAAGTGGACCACTGTTGTTTACTGTTAGGATTCCTTCACATGAGTAAATGTTGATGGTTTGAATTGCTTGTTCTGCTTCAAGACTATCTTAGGCTGATTAAGTGTAGATAAAGTTCAAAAATAAAAGTTCAGGAAATATTTGTCAGTACAATACAGAAGATAAAAGAGTTTAAAAAATGTTTCCTAAAAATGACTAGCAATAAATCTGTAAAGCATTGGTCCCTTTTAAATTTGTGTTCCAGGAATGTTCAAGTACGTGGACCTGTGGAACAATGGCTAGGAAATGTGGAAACAGCAATGTTCAACACAATAAAAAGGTATTATTTTTTTGTGATATTGGTTATATATAGTACTGAGTATAGGCTAAGGATCTGTGCCTGTGACTGAAAGGTTGCCGGCTCAAATCCCGCAGCCAGCAGAGGAATCCTACTCCATTGGGCCCCTGAGCAAGGCCCTTAACCCCAACTGCTCCTGGGGAGCTGTACAATGGCTGACCCTGGGCTCTGACCCCCAGCTTCTCTCCCTGTCTGTGTGTCTGTGTCTCATGGAGAGCAAGCTGGGGTATGTGAAAAGACGAATTCCTAATGCAAGAAACTGTATAGGGCTAATAAAGCAACATTATCACATTATTACTATTGTAATTACTCATACAGTATAACTTTGCTACATAATATGTTATTGTCCTTCTATAGAGCATGTAATTCATTTAAGGAAATAGATACCAAAGTCTGACAGATCTCCTGTTTCTTATTCTGAAACTTTTGTTGAAATGAGTGTGGTTAATATTTTTTTTATTAACACCCTTTAATAAAAAAACTTGACACCCTTTGGCTTCTGGGAACAAACATGCTTACACATTGTGAGCATGAGATCAGCAGTATTACAGCACTAAACTCCATTTCTGCCCCAAAATCTGTATGGAGTGCATCTCACACAGTACTATTTGTTTACATGAACGCTTTTGCAGATTCTTTACTTGCTCAATGTGATTCTTCACTGGCAGCCAAATGTGAAATAAAACAGCAGCCAAATAAAACTATTAAATGCATTTCATAATATATTTTAGGCATTTGAAATCTGGAGTAATGGAATGGAACCCATCAGAATTTAAAAAATGGGTACTGTCTCACCCTGGACAAGTTGTCCTTACTGTGGTAAGTATAGTAAAAGGAACAAATTGGACAATTAAATAAACATACAGTATAGACTGTCATGGGTTCCCCTCTGGTGTTCTGAGATCCAATTCTATGAAAAATAAATTTCCATTATTGACCATTTAAATTAATTTGTATGTTTTTGCTGTATATTAACTAAATGTTATCCAGCATTTAGCAAAAAATGTCAATAATAAGGACATTCTGAAAATTCAATAAATATGCAAAATTATGTTAATAAATTTAATAATGCCTTAACAATAAATTTTAAACGCAAAATCAAAAGCAAGTTATTTTATAGAGAAACAGAAAATTTTATAGAGAAACAGAGAAATAACAGTTCTCTAGTATAATAATAAGAAAAAGGCAGTACAGGGTTTTTGAGCAAGAAGGGTTAGGAGTTGTCTTGGGGCAAACTGGTCTTTCAAGGAACTGTAATAACGGAAAACTGTTGTAAGAATTAAGTAGTGGAAAGAAGGGGATTACAGTAGAGTCTTTATGTGTGTAAAACCTGTAAAACTCACCGATGAGATCTCTTGCAACCTACTCCTTTGATCCCAGTGAGTTTTTTAATGTGTTAGCTAAGGGTGGAGTCCATCCAAGATGTGATAGTAGATACTAAATGGAATCATTTTTGGTTAGTGTTTTTTGCTGTGAATAAATCTGTTGAATTATGTTTGCTATCCTGTGGACATATAGTTGGGGATGTGGGAAATAAAAATGAATGGTACTATTATACAGTAAATACAGACATAACTATAGACTAAATATATAAAACGGGAAGCTGTAGTTTACAAAAAATTCAACAACGGGCTCACACTGCAGACAACAGACCTGTTAGCACACAACAAACATCTCTCTGTTCATAATGTTGTTTGTCACATTTTCAATCCCAATGAGACCTTAGTGTGGGTGGAAGTGTGAAAGACAGATAATTAACTGTTGACTAAACGAACTGGCATCATGCAGGGTTCAATATGAACACAGTGTTATTATAGCAAGCTTTAATAGAGTAGGTAAAAAGATGTGCTGTTCCAGCAGTGTTCAGTAATTGAATGAGGGTGAGAAATATCACAGACTGCACCACATTTTATTAAAAACAAAAAAGAAGGGCTTCTAAGTCTCAAACTTAAAAAATGAAACTGTAATTAGAATGAAGGATTGTGCTGTTAAAATTAAATATAAAGGTCATTTATGTACACAGTAAAAAAATCTTCAGTTTGTCTTTGGTAAATATTTTGGTCTATTTTTCTGCTTCAGTCACTAAGACATTATACATTAGCTCCACACGATTGATATGACTGATCGTTCCCCTGACCAAAGCAAATGTAATCAGTTTTTCAGAGATACAGTATGTGAGGATAGATAATGTCTTTCTTAATGGTACAAATCCACACTGAGATATTTAAAGTTGATACACCTACAGTATGTTTATTTAATTTGTATTTTATTTTACAGACCCAGATAATGTTTTACAAGGAATGTGAGCGTTCCTTCACTGGCACGAATCAGAGCGTGAGTCTGCTAGAGGTCTTCCAAAACCTGGTGCATCGTCTTGAGCAGCTGACTGACCTGGCATCAAACCCACTTGCTCCACACCAGCAAGGCACTGTAGTGGCACTTCTGACAATTCTTGTTCATTGCAGAGATGTCCTGAAACACCTCATCCAACAGAACGTATCTAAGCCTGATGACTTCGAATGGACAAGGTACAGTATATTAAATATTTTCTAGGCACTTCACCACCTAATAAAGTACCCTGTTTCTGATTTTTGTGCAAGTAAACTGTATAGAAAAACAAAACAAACATCTACAGATCAAATATTTCACTTGTACTTTAAGCTGTATAGTTTAGGCATTGGTGCCCATTTTACTGTTATTATTGTCGTCTGATGTGTGTATAATAAATTTCATTTTTTTTGGTCTACTGTATATAAGCTTAAGAATACATACAAATATAATCAGAATTGCACCAGGAATTGAAAGTTCTGGCCAATAGCAAGCCATTTCCACTTCATGGAATATAATGTGATAATGCAGTGCACATCCATCTCATTGATATCCTTGTGGCTTTTTAGAGAATAAACATTAGAAATATGGTATGTTAAAAAAATTAAAAACTTACAAAATAGTTTGCTTTAAATATGCTGTGTATTAAGAAAGATAAGCTGACCAACTTCATAACCCCTGCTATTGGTTTTTTGTAATTTAGTAAATAAGTAATTAAAAAAATCAGTTTTAAAGATATTTAATATTTTTTGATTCAAGGTACAGTACAATTTTAAGTAGACTGGAAATCAAAATCATAAAAAATAATAAGCTACCACACTGCTAATTAATTTTACTCACGTAATGTTTCTTAAAAAGTAGAGTGAAGGGTTTTTAAAATAAAAACCTCTATATCCATGTCCATTTAATATTACACAATAAGCCATTACTAGAAGTTTAATAAATACACTATTCCAGCTGGAGCTTTATTCACTAAGAAAAGAAGCTTTTCTTTTCTTCTTTTCTTTCTAGGCAGCTACATTATGAGTGGAATGAGCAAAATTCAATGTGTTACGTAGTTCAGGCAAATGCCTCCTTCGTATATGGATATGAATATTTAGGCTGCTCCCATCGACTGGTCATCACACCACTTACTGACCGCTGCTGGCTGACACTTACTGGGGCTCTGAACCTCCATCTCGGAGGAGCTGCTGCTGGACCTGCTGGAACAGGCAAAACTGAAACTGTCAAGGACTTGGCTAAGGTATTTGAGCTATAATGTCACCGGAGATGTTTATTGGACCTCTATACAATAGTAAAGTAGAAGTGAGGTTATAGCTATTAATGAAAATATAGAACAAAATATTATTTACTGGAACATGTTAAAATAATGGTTTTAATGATAATCACTTCAGATGTTATTATTATTGGTATGGTCAGGGATGCAGTAACTGTACCACTGTTATGCATGTTTTTATAAGTTGAGCAGGAAAAAACAGGTTCATTATAGTTTAAGTTTAGAACAAAGAGAAAAAGTAATTTAAAAAAATCCCATGGTCAGGGATGCAGTAACTGTACCACTGTTATGCATGTTTTTATAAGTTGAGCAGGAAAAAACAGGTTCATTATAGTTTAAGTTTAGAACAAAGAGAATAAGTAATTTAAAAAAATTATTATGAGCTGTTGTTTTCAGTTATTGTTTCAATGGGGGAATAGTTGTTGAAGTTTTCTGCCTGCTTCAAAAATATTGCAGGGTACAGAAAGAGGGCTTTTAATTTACTTGCAGTTGTTGGTACAGTAGCTCTCGTTTTCGTTACCACTAACTTACTCTGCAGATGGTTATTTTTTGATCATCATACAGTATATCATATACTGTAATACTGTCATCTCAATTGATAGCTGCTTCATTTGGGAGAATTTGATCTTTACTGTCTTGGCCGAAAAACATCAGAATTTCATCCATTAACTTTTCCTTTAAGCTATACAATGTACACCAAATATGTAACCATAAGACTGAATAAGAACATGAGGAACAAGAGTCATACTTCTCTTATTTAGAAATAATCCTAATAATGTAAAGCATTGACTTAATATTTTAGGTCATTCTTAACATTTAGAAATTCAAACATATTACTCCAATAAATAATTTAAAAATATATGAATATATTGAATAATGTATATTTTGTTGGGTGTTTTGAAGTATTATTAATGGTTCTAATTAAAATAATGACTGTTGCTGCTGGCAACATGGTCATGCATAAATGTTCTTTTTATACCCACTCTGCCACTCTTATAGGAAAACAGTATGCCATTAGACAGTTTAGCAATCTTATCATTGGAGAAATATGCTGTAAATCCACTCAAATGGAATTCCATTTCAAGCTTTCATTATGGCAAAGCATTGTGCTGTAATATTAAGCCCATGAGATATGAGAATCATTTGCAATGGAACTGGGAATTGTTGTACAATGAATAACACAAATGGCATTCTAGCAGTTGATAGGAAGATCAATGGTTTTAAAAGTGATACTGAAGGCTGTTTTCTGCCAAATATCGGTGACACTTAACAGGTGTGCTTATTTTGCTAAACTGTGCTTATCACCCATTAATGTACACAGTTTAATTTAAAGATATGATTCTGGACTACATAAAGCCTAGACTTTTAGAATTTCTAGATTTTGCTATAATCTCCTTACTGTAGAAGAAGGCACTCCCTTCCCACTCTATCTACATTTTCCAATTAATTTTAAGATAAAATGACATTGAAATACAAAATGATAATACTCTTTAACTTATATTTATACAGTACTATACCTTTATTATTATTAGGTTACATAATGTTATTGTTATAAAATCCAATGGAAGTGAAAAATAACAGATATTTGGTGTGATCTACAGCTCTAGTTTTGCTGTGTTTTAAGGGATTGTTGTTATACAGTATATCTGTAAAGCTTTTATTTTTCCTTTCAGGCTCTTGGAAAATTCTGTATGGTCTTCAACTGCTTTGAAAGTTTAGACTACAAGGTATCAATTCAATATACAATATACAGTGCTTTACTGCATACAGTAAATTCCTTACTGTAACTTGTTTTTCTTACCGAAACATTATTTTTACTTAATTTCTTTGTTTAAGGATGTCTGTGCTACTGAAACAGGCTGTAATGTTATGCAGTATGTGGTGTGCAGTCAGTTCCCTAAGATTCCATCATTTATAATTGTAAAATTCAAAACAAAATAAATCACGTGCCTGTTAAAACATTGTAGTAGGTCTAATAAATAAAGAAATTCTATTGTGATTTCACCCATATTTACTAACTTAATTTACATCTATTTTAGAATAATATCCATTCTAAATTAATAAACACTTTAGTTTATTGCTACTTTCTGCTTTGTTCCACTGCAATGTTGGTCCTAGAAGACATCTAAGTGTTACAGTAGTGTTACTTTTATTTTATTAACACACAGCAATTTAGAATGGATTGTAAATCTTGATGTCTCTTAGTATCATTCTTTGTTTTTCCTTGAAAGGGAGGCTTCTCTTTGCTTTTAATACCCTTCATAGCAATCTCAATCCTTGTCTTTTATTAGATAATGGGCAGACTTTTCTCTGGTGTGGTACAGTCTGGAGCCTGGTGCTGCTTTGATGAATTTAATCGTATCGATGTGGAGGTTTTGTCTGTAATTGCATCACAGCTTCAAGCTATCAAGGCTGGAAAAGATAGCCAAGTTTTGAGGTACCTATTGTTTTCAAGCTACCTATTTTCTATTCGTAATTGGAAAGGCTCATATTGACACAATAAATATTTTATAAATTCAAGTTCTTAAGACTATTACAATTAAGAAAATGGAAAAGTGATGGCATATTAATTCTACCACATTTAGGTTGTTCAAACTGGATATAAAGTAAAAGAGATTTTATTGTATGTTAAAAAGATATATATTTATGATTTTAAGATCAGCATATAAAGTTATGTAGCAATATTGAGGGTGCTTGTTATTGATAGTTATCACCTACTATAGTCAAAATTATACTTTATAGCCTGTAATAATATGCATGTGTAAAAAAGCATCAAAACAATCTATTCAAATCTTATTCAATTGCAGGTTTGTTTTTGAGGGTAGGGACATACGTCTCAATGCTTCTTGTGGAGTATTTATTACCATGAACCCAAGGTATAGTAAATTAATTTATAATACTTCATGTAAGTGGCTTGCTCCTTATTTTTAGTTTCTTTACAGCTTCTGTAATTAACTTTTAAAGACTGAAAGAAAGCTATGAAACAATATTGTTTAAGTTTAAAAGTTCTTTAATCACTTTGCAAGTGACAGGCAAGCAAATATCTGATGGCTCAAAGACATGATAAAAAAACATGTCCTTAAATGAAATGTTGAAATGAAATGTATAGAATATTCATGTTGTATTTTAAGGGACAGAATTTACTAGATATCAGTCTGAGACCGGTTTGCTTCTTACAGTACATCTCAATGCATTCAAATAGCAATTTCTTTTATTCAGTATAGCAGTATTTTAAGTTCACTGTTAAGCTTTTAAAATGTTTCTTCTTTTTTTTACCACGGAGGAAACTGCAGATAGGACTGAGATCCAAAGTGAAATAGCTTTAGACAAATATGTTTCACCTTAGGGATAAAATAATTCAACCCTGTCCTCTCTTCCTTTCTTTCAGTTACAAAGGAAGAGTAGATCTTCCAGACAACCTTAAATGTCTTTTCAGGCCTGTGGCAATGATGGTGCCTGATTATGGACTCATTGCTGAAATTATGCTGTTTTCAGAGGGATTCAAGTCTGCAAAGCCATTATCAAGGAAAATAGTCAATCTTTACCAGCTGGCCAGCACACAACTGTCACAACAGGTATGTTTATATATAACACTGTAGAGTATACAGTATGTTTTCACATCAATATTATCAAGGTATTATATATATATACAGTATATACTACAGTTAAGTATCTTCTTCTTAGTACTAATCATTCATTATGTATTGCTGAAGGATTAACCTCTCTGTGTATCGTACTGTGTAGAAAAAAAGGTGGAGCTCACATTTGGTTTCTAAACTTACCATCTGAATTTGAAGTAAAACGTGTGATTGCAAACACATGGGTTTGCTAGTTCTAATCACTCTGTAATGAAGGTAAGGCTTCATAAAAAATAGGAATGTAATTTGTAGGATTATTTAATAGATCTTTTCATATATGAGATGAGAAGAAGCACCTATAAACAATCCATACCTGGCCAGACTGGATCCTCAGATTCAGACAGAGTACCTGGAGGGTAATGTATGCATACTGTATAGCAGCTGTTGCTGCTAGCACAATTTTGTATCATGTAAAACATAAACCCAAAAACAGTAATGTGGTGTCAGTTGTATGCAACACCATGACTCAGTGTCAACAGGTCTCACAACTTCTCAGTTCAAACAATCTTAAAATTATTCCCTAGTCCCTACATACTGTAGCTTAGTGTGCCTCCACAGCCTTTTGCTTTTGAGGGTCAGAATGGTGGAATTTACTTCATAAGACCTTTGAGGACTGGGGTCTGTTTGTGTTTTTAAAACGTTTTTTTTTTTTTACTACAGTTGCTTTCAGTTTTCCAAAGTATGTTGGTCTTACATTTCTCAGTTTTTTTTCTTTTTCATTCCTCACCTTTGTATATTACTATGAAAGATAAATGTATGTTTTCCCATTCTACTTGTTTTACCCTCCATGTCAAATAGCCTTGACAGAACTGTAAACATTGATTGTCTACTCAACTATCACTTTCTCTTTAATGTACACAATGTTTTGTTTTTTTTTATCCACCAGACAATGTCCTTACATTTCCTTGTGAAGTTTGCAAGTGCTTGTAAATACAGACTTTCAGGGACATGTACTGTACCAAAAAAACAACAACAGAATCTCTATTGAAATCTGATTGTGATTGTGTTTTATAAATCAGGGAATAAAACATTGTGCTGTGTTATTGAGATATAAAATTACTACAACACGTTACCAGTACTGTTTTTGATTTTGCAGGATCATTATGATTTTGGTATGAGAGCAATAAAGTCAGTATTAGTTATGGCTGGACAAAGGAGAAGAGCTTCAGTAGAAACGTAAGTACCACTGTAACAAGCCTACTGTCACAGGTGTCAGAAGGGACATACCGTGGAATGTCAGGAGAGCAGAAAAAGCCCCTATGCATAGCGGCGGAACGGGGGATTAGCTCGGGCTCAGCAGTTCAGGAGTCATATAGAAACCAATGCCCTCAGGCAGCGGACGAGAGGCGACCTGGTGCTAGGTCTCAGGCGACCGAACGTCAATGCTGAGCAAAGGTGAATGAGTGACCCGGAAATATATAAACCCAGCAAAAAAGCAAAACACAGGAAACTAGGGACAGGACAGAGTAGGAGCGCCCTCTGGCTGCAGAAGGCGTGACAATACCCCCCTTCATGGGTGGCTCCTGATGCCCATACAAATAAGTGAGCTGCTCAGCACTGAGAGGAGAAAGAACCTCACTTAACTGAAAGGAAACCTCCGGGAGTCCACGGCTGAGACCTGGCACCTCCTCCAGGGTATAAACCTTTATTGGGTAGAGGAAGGGGGGGTTAGGTAGAGCTCCAGAGACTTAAAACAAAAAAGACAAGTACACAAGCACAAACCACAACAAAGATAAACCTGAGAGACCAGGGAAATAAAACCACAAAAAAACAGATAGGAGCCAAAAATTCCAAGACACATGAGACAGGGGGACCAGAGAGAAGGGGAAACCAGGAAGTGAAAAATCAAAACACCAAGCAAAAAACAAGAATAAAAACACAAAAACCCGGGGAAAATACCGCAGACTGGGCAATAGGCACGTTCACATTCTATCACTGATATTGGAGTGGACAACCTGAGGAAAGACAGGCACAGGACCACTCACAGGCACAGATAAACAGAGTGATATCCAGTAATGAGGAAAGGAGGGCCAGCTCAACATTCAATCATGCATGCCGGAATGACAACCCGAGGAAAGCCAGGCCGCAGCCCGCTCACAGGCACAGGAGTTGGAAAAAGCATCCCGCAATTAGAGTAGGAGAGCTGAGAGAAAAAAAAAGTGCTGAAAAACAAAAAAACGCCGCTCGCAGGGTCAGTAGGATGCTCGGCATTCTGTCACGGATGTCGGAAGAGACAAACCGTGTAATGGCAGGAGTGCGGAAAAAGACCCATATGCGTAGCGGTGAACTGGGGATTATCCCGGGTTTAGCAGTTCAGGAGTCATATAGAAACCAATGCCCTCAGGCAGCGGACGGGTTTCAGGACATCCGAACATCAATGCTGAGCAAAGGTAAATGAGTGACCCGGAAATATATAGCCCCGGAGAGAGAGACACCGGAAGGACAGCAAAGCACAGGAAACTAGGGACAGGACAAAGTAGGAGCACCCTCCGGCTACAGAGGGCGTGACACCTACAGTACCTCTCAGCAAATCACTTGTGAGACCTGAGCACATGGAAAAACTCAGAATGGCAAAATTATGGTGCAAGGAGATTTTAAATAACAAACTTTCTCAAAATATATATCCCGAAGAAATAATTATTCTAACAACCCAACACCAACTACCACCTGAAATCCCTTTACATATCAAAATGTCTTAATTAAACCAATATGAGAATGTGACTCTCAGGCCTTCACTAAATTAATCAACCAACTAACTACATATTTACAAGTAGTAGAGGCCTGAATGACCTCTAACGGCAAATTACTGTATTATCCTAATCCTGATCTGCCACAATTACTTGACCTTGCTGTGAGCTTTTTCTTTATGACTGTATAGTTGTACAGTACTTATACAGACATGTCTAGACACACACTTTAATTTGATTTGGTGATTATATACAGTAGGTGCTAGCAGTCAAAGCCATGTCTTGTCTTTTTATGTTGTATTGGAACCCATACCCCAGATCCATGAGGTCAGTCTCAAATGGCAGTCTTGGATACATTGATGCCAAAGGTTTTGTTGCTTTTTGGGTGAGATTCATTCTCCCATATTTGAGTTAAACATTCTCATGTCTTCTTCTTGGTTGGCTAGCAACCATCATATTAGCCTTGAACATCTTAATGACAAACACTGCTGTCAAAAGTAGTTTGTCTTTTGTATTTTTTACAGCCATTACTAAATTAGGTCACTAATTTACCTTAGATATCTGAATAGTTCTCTGACTTCCCCATGATGATGTGATACTGAGTACTCTGCTTTAGCCTCCTTTAACATTTTGTGGCAATAAAGAAGACTTCAAAGAGGTTTTACAAACTTTCTGAGTAAAACTACCAATCTAAATACAATTAAGGGTAAATGTTTACAGGACATGAACATTTGAACATTGTGTTTATGTTACTTTTTTTTAAGTTAAGATATTTAGTACAATCTTAATGATTACCTACATTTTTTTCAAAATCAGGTTTTCTTAAGGGGATGAATGTATATGAGAGGGATACCTAGACATATTAAAATTTTAGATAAGCTTTGCTTTTATTAGACTATAAATCTGTTATCTGTTATTACAATGAGAAACTACCTGTTAATACCACATCAACAGAAGTTACTGCATCAAAGCTACAGCATCACCTAGTGGCATGTTCTAATTTTATACAAAATAATAATTATTAAAATATACAGTATGTATAGGATTACAGTTTTAAGAAAACCTCCTCAGTGTAATAGTGCTACAGTAAATGCTTTAGAGAACATGTGACCATTTGTTTCATTTTGGTGTAATTATTAATTGGACTTGGATTAATTAGGACATGAAAATGGCTTTTCAGTTATTCTGCATCCTTGTTTTATACCTTTGTTTTTTTTTCCATCCATCCTACTTCTAACCTCTTCACACAGTTTAGGGTTACGGGAGAGCCAGAGACTATCCCCACAAGCAACATGCATATGCCAGGGCATCGCAGGTCACATACAGACACACACACCAGCATCAATTTTCTCAAATGCGAATTTACTTACCGCTACTGTATATCTTTGGACCGTGAGCGGAAAACTAGAGTAACTGGCAGAAACCTACATGGGGAGAACATGAGGAGAATGTATAAACCCCACGCAAATAGCACCACAGATCTGGAATTTAACCCATGGCCCCAGTGCTCTGAGGCAGCAAATGCTAAACACTGTGCCACGGTGCCACTCCACCATTGTTTTTTATAATATTAAAAAAATCTTTAAACTGTTTTATAAAGAATCAGTTATTTTATTTTCAAAAATAGATTAAGTGTAGTTAAAATATTAAATGTCTTAAGATAACATTAGGTTCAGACTGCAGAAAACAAGCCAAGGATTAATTTCCTGAAACAAACAATTTTTGCCTTTTGCAAAAAAAAACTCCAATCCTAAAATGTATTAATAGCGTTGGCATAAAGTGCTGACAATCAAACAAGAAGGTACACTATACATTTAATTAAGGATTTAGTCATGGGTGCCTAAAAAACTACAATGCTAAATTGTAAAAGTTGTTTCCTTTGGCCAATTGAAAGGTTACAGGCTATATGAGCAGCAGCATCACCAACTGGTTTATCCAAATGGTCAAGTAACAATACTCTGCTTCATCTTGGACATCCCTCTTTTAATTACTAAGTAAATAAAATGACTCCAAAACCACTGTGACGTAACCTACAGACATATAGTTTAAATGCATTATGAAAAGACAAACCTGTGTTTCTAGCACCTGTTGCTTGTTTTGTTATCTGCATCTTGTTTTGTAATGCTTTAATTTTGAGCTTTATTGTTTTATATGAAAGCAAATCTAAAGAACTTTAAATTGTGATCTTGAGGATAAGAGTTTGCAAATCAAAGCAGCAACCTTAACCTTCAGAGATAATGTTTTTAATATTTTACAGGTTTTTAATCAGATTTTACCTTGATTATTCTCCGATAGTTTAGGAGATACTTAGAGAATCATGGAAAGATATAAATTAGGCCACTTTAAAGTCTGGTAGCACCATCATTTTATGGAAGCAGCAGCACTAACTGCTATGTGAGAAATCTGGACGTCTGCAGAACTATTTCACATGCTCAGCAGAAAGTTAGAAATGTTTGGGCTGTCAAGCAGACACTAATCATCATTTCATACAGTATAAAAATATGTCACCTAATATCATAATTGCAAGGATTGCATTTTTCAAATAAATACGATGTGTGCTCAGTGTTTAATACTACTAACTAATGGGTAATGCATTATTTGCATAGAATTGTGGGGCAACCACTGTGGGGTGTTTTCAAGCACACAGCAGTAATAAAAGACATAAACAAAACAAAAAGACATAAATGAATCCTTGTTCATTTTTAAAAAGATTGGGGTTACCTATCTGGTACCTGTCAACCCTAATTAGCATATTCCCAGTGACTTTAACACCTAGACTGTCTTTGTTCCCCAGATTAGAAGGCACTACACTGTCATTTTATTTTTCATTCATTAGCTGTGTGTAATGTCTGTATGCCTGAGTAACATTTTAATAAATAACAATTGTTTGAGATTATTAATAATCACCTTGTACAATCCGCAGATTAGTACTGACTGCCGAAGAGGAATCTTCCATTCTAATTGGTGCTTTACAAGATGCCAACCTGCCCAAGCTTGTGCCCGAAGATGGTCCTCTCTTTAAAAGCATCATGGGGGACCTTTTTCCCAGGGTCATTGCTCCTAAATCATTTAATCCCAATCTTGAGGTAATGACATTTTAAAGAATTCTGAATTCTGAAAATTTTAAGCATGTTGCCAAGAGAGATTTAAAATTACTGTTTCATTGTGTATAATTTATTAATATGTTCCTAATATTACACTGAATGTATTTGTATTTATGTTTTAATAATATGTAGTATACCTGTAATTTGTCCAGTCACTATGTAATAAGAAAATCTAAACACAACCAATTACTTCTGTTTGACACGGATGTTTCTCCATAATGCAAAGTGATAGGGTTTGAATTAAACACAAGCTGAAAAATATGTCAAGTATTATGGATTTTTGATTGGAAAATCATATTTATGGATGAATGGATATTAATTTGTGCTAATGTTTCGTCTGATGTCACTATAAACATGAAAATGAAAATATACTAGGTAAGAAATCTCAATAACAAATAAGTACTGTACCTTTTCCTTTTCTTTTTATTGTAATGTGCTGAATTGACCCAAGGCACAACTTTTTAAATTAAATGGTTAGCTTGTTGATGTTAAAGTTGATGTATTTTAACTATGGTTATATGGTTTTTAAAAGACCATCTTCATAACACCAATTTTACTACTCAGAATCAGTATACTGTTATGCATGGTCAGGACCAGGAAAGTACTTGAACCTCTAAGAAATACTAAGCTATTTTGTCACTAAAGATCCCCTTTCACTATTCCTAAGAGAAGGGCTGTATTCCACATTTCATTGTCAAAATTCCACGCTGAGCTTGTGCATCTGGCCTCCACAAATTTCCTCCATACGTTTAAAAGTGAACTAATTTCTCTGCCTGATCAGTTGTGTAGTGATCACAAAGCTGAAACGTTGTGTTTCTTTTCTTCTCTTTTCAGCATGGAATAAACCTTTACTTTTCCTTTGCAGCCTACGCATGCTGACGCAGCCACTTTCTTGACTTATTATTATTATTATTATTATTGTTGTTCTTGCTGCTGCTGTTCTTGTTGCTATATTGTATTGTAATTGTATTCCTTGTTTTTTCCCCAGAAAGCTATAGCTATTGCTACAAAATTACTTGGACTGCAGCAATGGCCTAACCAAGCAGAAAAAGTCAAACAGCTCTATGGTCAAATATTGGTTTGTATTATAAGCTGTCTTTATCCTTTTTGAAGAAGAACTGTATTCATTGCCAGGTGTTATTGGTTCTATTTTTGATGGATACCCATGAGGTACTCGACAGTAAGGAGTAAGGTACTGCACAGGAGTGTAAACTGGCTGTTATTTGTGAGAGCAATGGGCACATTTAGCAGAATCAACTGAATACTAGTATCAAAAAATATCTTAATGTGAAAGAAAGATTGCAAATCCAGATTCACATTTCACATTGCACATTTCAGAATTTCAGGATCTAAAGAATGCCAATTTTGGTGAGACAATTCTGCCATTGAAACATTTTGGTGTAAGCAGGTTATTATCACTCTCTTAAAAAATGTTTCATTTTATTAATTCAAGGGGAGAAGCAGGGGTTAGTACAGTAGAGAAAAATAGCACCGGGGGAACCCAAGTGGTGAGGGTGGGTTGGCATGAAAATGAAATGGGTTGAGAATGAAAAGAAAGCCGCTTGACAAGGAAGTAAAAGAAGTCCCTGACTCACTGAGAGTCGCTTCTGAGGCACTGCCTCGCAACTGGACTAGGCCCTCAGGGGACAGAGGAGAAGAAATAGTAGGTTCGAGCTACTGAGAACAATGTGGCCGGGGGTCCCCTCTGGCTCATGCTGTGAGAACCTCCCCAGGAGGGGTCAAGGTGGCCCGGCCAACCTGAGGTCAGGGACATGAGCTTCACTTACCCCCCAGAGGGAACCTGGATGCAAAGGCAACACAAAAGAAAGAGGAGGAGAAGGGAATTTAAAACTTTAGATGTGTGTTTTAGCGTAGTTGGGATTTAAATATGAAATAGAAAATTCAATGCTAGATGAAGAGGCAGAGCAACCCCAGCTTCTCCTCTCAAACCTTCATCTGTTGGTTTCTATTAATAATAATTTCTTGTGCTTTTCTGGACACTCCAATTAAACACTTTACAAGTAATGGGGACTTCCCCCCACCACCACTAATGTGTAGCACCCACCTGGATAATGTGATGGCAGCCAAAGTGTGACAGAAAGCTCACCACACAGTAGCTATCAGTGGGAAGGAGAACAGAGTTATGAAGCCAATTCATAGATGGGGATTACTATGATTTACTAGAAGACAGGGGGATAGTTGGCCAGGACATTGGGGTTAACACCCCTTCTCTTTTTAAGAAAACACCTGGGATTTTTATTGACCACAGAGAGTCAGGTCCTCAGTTTTACATCTCATTTGAAGTTCTGTGCCTTTTTTATACCATATAGTGTCCTCATTAATATACTGGGACATTAGGACCCACACAGTGCACAGTGGGCACTCCACACTGGTCCCACTAACACCTCTTCCAGCAGCAACCTTAGCTTTCCCAGGAGGTCTCCTATCCAGGTACTAGCCAGGCTCACACCTGCTTAGCTTCAGTATGTTGCAGTTTTATATAGTTGCTAGCAATTGTTGTTATTTTATATTTCATATTTGCTAAGATTCTCAAAATGTTTTAAATACACAGAATGCAACTGTAAAAATACATTGTATACAGTCAATATCAGTCCATCCTCTTATTGCACTGACTTTTTATATTTACAACATTTTAACTGTCATTTATTAAAATACAAATTTATATTCTACAAATGATGTAGTTAATCACACTATTTTCTAATTATTCATCACTATATCTATATATACAGTATATTATATCATAAAAAACATATTAAAAAGTGAAGAACAATTTGCAAAATCTTGCAAAGCACATGTTGACAGTTTTAATTTATTTATTTTTAAATAAAAGGTTATTGTGGTATATCAAAGTCTAGTACAAAATGCTCTTCTCCTTTCCTTCTGTTATTACAAAAACAAAGTAGCTTTATTAAGTGGCTGAAGCTGAGAACATTTAAAATGGCACATTTAATCAGTTTCAGTCTGAAATGTCTACTCCTTTTTATTTTTGCTCTAACATATCTAAAGCTTTAATTCCTTACATCTGCATATATTACTTAACTGTATTTGTCACCTGCAGGGTCTTGATTTATTAATTTCCAGGCATAATGAAGAACTGCTTCTAAAATTACTGTTATCCTTTTGATCCAACATTTATTGAGCTTGAGTTGAGATATGGTATAGTACCTGTTAATTCAGTAAAAGCTGCACAGACAAATAAGTGTATTAAATCTGGTGCACAGTAAGGCTAACTGTAGAGTACAGTCCGCTTTAGGTCCACACCCAAGTGATTGAAAAGTATAGTCCTTCTTCTTCATTACATGAACTAAAAAACAAACATGCTTAATTCAGGCTTAAGCACCTCTACCCCTTAACTCCTGAGTGAATGCATTTCAATTCTGCAAATGTGTCATTCATTTCTATTTTCCCCCATTTTCAGAAATGTTTTTGCTCTTTTTTGGAATATCTATATGTACAAATAGAAGGGCAGATTTCCCTCATACACAAAACTGTTGGCACATTACAAACCAACTTAATTTTGTATGGAGTGGACAAATCTCCCACAATTTATTTTACATACAGTGAAATCAAGGACCATTGAAGCTTTCTTGAAACACAATATTTATGGATTATTTTATTAAGAAAAACATTTGGCGATATAGCAGGATACCTCCTTTTGCATAAAGCAAAATCCTCTGAAATACATTTTGGAATCCCTCTGTTCTCTTGACATCTGTATTATTACATGCCTTTACACACTGTTGCAATTTTTTACAGTTGCGTTGAATCTCTGTTTTCTTACCATCTTATTCTTTTTGAAAAACAGCAACTTAATCAAATACTTGCAGTCAGGCTCATGGAGATTTATTTTAGAATTTTAAGTCAAGCTGTTGAGTGTGGCTTACAGTAGATCTGACACCTGGAGAGAAGAGCTGTGAGTGGTAGCAATACCAGTGAATTAAGGGCATACATAATTAAGAACTTTATATCCTGAGACCTATTCCAAGACAGCTAGTTTGATAAGTGATAAGTGATTCGTATGTGACTCGGTCCTGACTATAAGTAAGATGAAAAGAAAAGCAATGAGCTGAAGCTGTCAGGCCTTCTTAAAGAGATAAGAGTTATGTAATACAGATGTAAGACTTAAGTCATTGAGCCATCTGTTATAAATTCCGTCCAATTTAACAAATATTTTCTGTATTAAAGAATGGGTAATATTTTAGCATGAAATTATTAATTTCATATTTCCAGTGATATTTTTGGTTTATACAACTTATGTTGATGTATTTTACTTAATACTTAATATGTTTTAACAATTCTAAAACAAGACACAGCTGTCTATAAAAATACCCTTTACTATTCCATTTTTCCCATACCATTTAAATCATAGTGAATTGATTCAAAGATATTCTTAAGGGGCTTGTGAATGTGAATCTGAGATTGATGCCTCATGGAAAAGTTCTAAATTAAGCATATATTATTATCATACAGTATATTGACTCTACTTACAAAACATTAGTTTTTTTTTATAATCCACATATCACCTTTTTGACTCATACTGTACTAATGTTGTATTATTTTTTATTTATTTTTATTTTATTAATTTTTGGAGCTTATATAATTTTGTATGTCAATTAGGTAAGTACCAAAACATGCCACTATATTATTACATTGGATTAAAACATTTCCATTTTTTCACTTTTCTTAACTGTGAGATTTTCATAAAGCATTATCCTTGATCCACTTAATGTAACATGTCTCTGATTATTAACAGTGCTTAATGCATAACCTTCTGTGAAGTTATATTATTTCAATATAATTTTGGAAATCCAACACAAAACAAAAAAACAATTTTTACCAAAATTTACCAAATACCAATATTATCCCAAATGTCCAATTACACATTTTAATTTACACTTATAGCTTTGTCAGAGACAGCTGTACACTGTTTAACAATATGAAAAATTGGTTTCCAATGATTGAAGCTGCTTTTGAGCCATTGGTTCTAGCCCACAGGTGGTGTTTCTTCACGGATGTTTTAATGTGTCAATGGATGGGGGAGGCATCTTTTTTGGCTCAGAAGTTTTTTTGAGTGGCATGTTGTTTAAGATTGTCATGGTGGTATTACTGAGATGTTCTGGAAGATACAGATCTCATACAGTGGCATACTGTACTGTATGTTCCAAACTGCATTTTCAGTAGAGTTTTTCTGCTTTTGGTTTCATATTTGATTTCTTCTTAAAAGGGTCAGTTAGATAACTGTTCCAAACTTATTTTGTCTAAACAACATAATCAGCACAGAAACCCTTAGGAATCCTAAGGATCAACAAAAGGTCACAACATAACATAATCATGCATAGTTTATTATCTAGTGAGCCAGTCTTTTTGGAAATTTTGTCTGTTGTTTTTAATATTAATGGTTAATATTAGCTTCTGTTCAAAGCTTCACATTTGGCATGACATCAATTTTTCTCAAAATTGATTTAGGCCCGGCATGGAGTGATGTTAGTTGGTCCCACTGGAGGAGGGAAAACAGCTGTTAGAAGACTCTTGCAGAATGCCCTTCCCTTCCTGCCAGCTCTTACATCAGCCTGCAATGAAGAAACGTCCATGCAGGTAAACAAAATGAGAGAATTTTAACCTTACCAGCTTTGTAACAAAGGAGAGGCAGATGCACCATGTGACTTTGGAGTGCTCCAGAATACGTATACAACATTAAAAATAAAATATAAAAAAATGTTTTGCTTGGAAATGAACTATGATTTATACATTATAGAATCAGAATCAGAAGGGCTGTTTTGTTATTCAAAAGCAGATCTGTAAAATCATACCTGTGAGTTTTATATTACAATCTCTACATGGTTAAGAACTATAATCTTACCACAGATAATTGTAGACCTATGATACTTCTTTTTTATTCAGTAGACACTTTTTAATGTTCTTTTGCATGCCCAAGAATCTTTTTTGCATGTCCGGTACCCCAGGGTTCTTCATCAGTGTTGCATTGCTTGACATCTACAACAGCAGCACCTTTCTGCAATTTCATATTTTTACTGTGAATATTTTAGTCATGGACAGAACAGAGGTGAAGTGGTTATAATTTCTTGATTCTAAATTACAATAGCCATACTGTATCACTCTGCAACTCACAACTGGCAACCCACTGAAGCTAAGCAGGTGTGAGCCTAGTCAGTACCTGGATGGGAGACCTCCTGGGAAAAACAAAGGTTGCTGCTGGAAGAGGTGTTAGTGGGGCCAGCAGGGGCCGCTCACCCTGCTGTCCATGTGGATCCTAATGCCCCAGTGATGGGGACACTATACTGTAAACAGGCTCCATCCTTCAGATGAGATGTAAAACTGAGGTTTTACTGACTCTCTGTGGTCATTAAAAATCACAAGGCGTTTCTCAAAAAGAGTAGGGGTGTAACCTGGCCAAATTTCCCATTGGCCCTTACCAATCATGGCCTCCTAATAATCCCCATCTATGATTTGGCTTCATTAATCTGCTGTCCTCCTCACTGATAGCTGGTGTATGGTGAGCGTTCTGGCGCACTATGGCTGCCGTCGCATCATTCAGGTGGATGCTACAGGTGGTGGAAGGGAGTCCTCATTACATGTAAAGCGCTTTGAGTGGAGTGTCCAGAAAAGCACTATATAAGTGTAAGTGTAATAATTATTCACAATGCTGGGGCCGAGGGTTCAATTCCAGAGGTGGGGTGATATCTGCATGGAGTTTGTATGTTCTCCCTTGTGTTCACTTTGGTTTTCTGTGGGTGCTCTTGTTTCCTCCAACAGTCCAAAGACATACTGGTACAGTATGTTAATTAGCTTCTGAGAAAATAGTCCCTGGTGTGAGCATGTGCATATTTTTGTCTGCCCTGCAATGGACTGGCATCCCATCCCATAAAGCGTGTACCCTGCCTTGCGCCTGTTGCTTGCTCAGATAGTATGTAAGGATATGTGTACTGCAGTGATCAGTTTTAAGCCTGTTGCTCTTCCTGATCAATGATTTAGACGTTGATATAGTTAGCAAATGTAATGGAATTTGTAGATTAAATAAAAACGTAGGGATTGTCGAACACAAAAGGTTATAAAACAAAACAGGGAAGTAATGATTAAGTACTGTACAACAAAAACTGGAATTAAAATGCATAAATTAAGTGAAGTGCTGAAGTTTCACAATGCACCAATAAAACAAAACTCAAAATATTGTTTTGATTTAAAGTTCAGTAAAAAATAAGAATGGTTACAGGAACTGTTTAATTCAGCCAGGTTAAGAGAGCTAATTCTCTTCACTGTAGAACAAAAAAGATTGAAAGGAGGTTAGATGTAAATCCTAAGTACCTAGAATTATCCAAAAGGACTATTTCAAATTAAAAAGCAAACTATAACACTAGTTCATACTTAGAAACTAAAAGGGAATTAATTTAGGACAGAGAATAGAACACTTCTTTACACAAAGAGTTGTGGATGTCTGAAACAGGCCTCCTGGCAGATCGTGGAAGTCCACATTTTGTTCACTTTTAGAAAAGTCTGGACAAAAATCTCACCTTTCAAACTACCAAATGACATTCTGAATTATTTCCTCTAATTTGCACCCTTAAGAACGTTTACAAAGGAGAAGATGCCATTCAGTCCATCTAACCTGTTTGGTAGTCAGAAGCTACAGTAATTGATCCAAGGATCTAATCCAGCCATTCCTTGATTGACTGATCTGTGCTTCTACAGCCCTTTGAGTAAAGGAGCCTTTTTAAGGAGTGCTCTTCATTTTAAATGCACTTCCACAAGGTTTCCACTTCCATCCTCTGGTTCACATTTCACTGTTCACTCTAAAGTGTGCTGGGTTGAAATAATAAACATTATTGAGAAATGAGACTTTATCGGTGGTTTATAGAATGCTTTATAGAATTTAACATCATCCTATGATTTAATTTCTTTTAACATTACTGTACATTCTAATAATTTCCCATTTGTACTGCTCCTCCACATTCTCTAAAGTATGAAAAAGATGTCAACACCTAAGTCTTTTTCGTAAGTAGTCTCTTCTATCTCAGTGTTTCCCTTTTTGTATTTATAGTATAAATTATACTGTAGCTTAGGTTTTTGCTACCTGCATCTACCTTATGTTTTTATATTATTTTAATGACACCTTTATTCAATGTGTTTTATTGTAATTTAGACACCAGCAGTTAAGAAGATTAAAGTGAAGTCTTTTTCAATCAACCCAAAGTGTGTCACCCTTGGTGAGCTGTATGGACAGGTAGATCCCAACACCCTAGAGTGGTCAGATGGGCTGCTAGCATCTGCAGTGAGGACTTTTTCTAAAGAACTGAGTGAAAAGGTGGATGCAGAAAAGCAATGTAGTGAGGAAAATGTATCAGTCCCAGCTTCTTATAGTGTAAGTATAACTATTTATATTTATACTAAAATTAGGTTTACTTTTATTTATATTACAAATACTTAGGATTGGATGGCATTGAGGTGTGCTTTCATTGTTGAATTTCCCTGTTCTCCTTGTACTGGTGTCCCATACATTGCCATCCATTCTTCCACCCTGTTATTGAACAATAGCTTTTTCCATAAGATGTGATCATTGTAGATTTTAAAACGACATTTCCCGAATAAATACTGAAACAATGTGAGAAATGTGAATTTCTTTCCGCAAATACACTTTGTGTGTTTCTTAATAATTAATTCTAGCAGAGGCTGCAGTTGTAACACACTGACCAAAAAAATTAATAAAATAGCTATAAGTCCCTATAAAGTTATGTTAAATAAACCCATAGAAAAGAGGTATGCCAAATATATAAAGGGAGTGTGTAAATGATACTAAAGTAGTTAAAAGTTTATATTTTCATTTGCCATGAAAGGAGGGAAACAAACAACACCACAGTTGTGCTGAGTGAGAAGCGGTAGTGGAAAACCTAATTAGACGTCTGAAAAAATAACAAAATATACCGAAACAAGGCCTAACAAATTAAAATAAAATGTTATGTCTACAAATTATGTTGGGTTTTTTTGCTTGATTTTCATTTTTATTGGTCTCTTTGGGTCTTTTTCCATAAAGAAGGTATTTGGGGGATTTGCCTACATATATATATTTTTTTTAATTAAAGCATATTGCTAATTGCAAGAAAGGCAAAAATAAAGTCATATAATTTTCTTTTGTTCTTATTACTAAGCAAAAAAGATTGCATTGTGACCAACCTTACCCTTGTGTAAGTAATGTATATGAATTAAGCTAAGTTCTGATTTGTTTGTGCTATTTTTAAAGGTTTTACATTTACATTTCTGTTTAATTTTTCAAATGCAACCTGTTTAATCAGGCTAGGTAACATTTAAAGGACTCGAATATCTTGAAATGAAAGTTTTCCTTATTTTATGTTATTGTTTTGTTTTATTTTTGCTGATATATCTAATAACAGTATGAGCAGTATATTTAAAATTATTGTAATGTAAAACATGTAGCGTCTATAATATCTGTTTCTGTCCTGGTAATGAAATTTTTGCAGGATAATCAAATAAATGTATCCTCTATTCCTATAAATGAGGAAAGACATTCTACCCTACATCATGGTAAGTTAATGTTTAATATATTCAAGTTTTTTGCTTAATATTATTAATATAGAAAAGTGTGTCAGAGGACAATCTTCTATGATTTGGCAAGGCATATAATAGAATAGAAAGCCGAAGACTAGGCTGGCAAACAGACAAAGATGATGAGTATGGATGGACCAAAGAAGGACCAAAATATAACTAGTTTCTTTCAGGAAACGAAAGTAGAGTTTTTGTGTTCTTCTCATGTTCGTGCAGGTTTCCTCTGGGAGAAAATTTGCTCTGGTGTCTGTCATTGTGTCTGTATTTGTATAGGCTCTAGCTCTCCCATGACCCTTAATTGGTTAGAAAATGGATGGATGGTTGCTTAATGCAGGAATGCAAATATTTATTTATTTAACTTCATGCTTTCTCTAGGCTTTCTTGTGTTCACAAATAAAAATGCAACACCATACAAGTTGACACTGTAATAATATTGAATAATATTCAATTCTTTATCTCTGCTTTTCTTTTGTTTCTCTTTCTATTAAGACATTATCATTGATAACTGGCGCTGGATTATTTTGGATGGCCCAGTAGATACATTGTGGGTTGAGAATTTGAACTCTGTGTTAGATGACACTAAAACTATGTGTTTGGCGAATGGAGAACGAATCAACTTGCCTGCAGGAATGAGATTCATATTTGAGGTGGACACACTATCCCAAGCCAGCCCAGCCACAATTAGTCGATGCGCAATGGTTTATATGGTAAAGACCTATGTTAATCTATGTCTATGTTAATCCATATTATGTTCTTTTAAAGGTGTTTTCAGTTAATATTAGATAAGAGTTTATTGCCAGTAGATTTGATTTACATTGTACAGTTTATAGATTTACCACAATGGCAGTCATTCTACTGTAGGCTTTCATTATCTAGTGTAAACAAATATATACACAGAATCTGGTCTTCACATTTATTTGATACCATAATATTTTAGAAACAAGAGTAGGTTTTGAGAGGGACAGTTAAGCACCTACAGGTACCACCTAAGCAGTGGCTCTAGTTTAGAAATCCTGAAGTTAATTTCCAATTTGTATGAAAACATAATAGAGAGTCTACAGAGAATGTAACAAGTAGGCAAAAAAGGGAGTATGGATCCTGTGCAGGGCTCAGGAGAGAGAGAACACCGAGAGTTCAAATTCAAATCACAAGGCTAAGACGTACTGTAAACCAGGAAACAAGCATGACAGTACGATAGCGACAAGACAGCAAGAGAGTAACAATCCATCTCACAAGTCTAGATCGTAAACGAGGGGACAAGCAAGAAGGTCTGATAGCAACAAGACGCGCACTAGGGAGTTTAAGGAGAATCTGTAATAAAAAGGGGGAACTAAAATAGTGACAGGAGTGAACGGTGATATAGTAGATAAATTAGTTGCGACGTGAACGTTTGTTAAACACGGCGCGCATGGGAATGTGAGAGCGGTCTGGGACGCGTGCGGAATGCGTAACACATAAATTATAGACAACACTTATAAATCTTTCAAATCACAATTAAATCTACTCTGGTCATTTCAAAATGGGGAAAGTATGACCTGAGTTGAAGTAAAACAGTTAATTAAAAATACTTATTTTACAAACTGAGGAGACAATGTCTAATTTTAAAATGTGTCCCTTATCATAAGATATAACCAAAAACTGTTTCTTATATACAGTATATATAGAATGTTTACAGTATCATCTTCATATTGTCAGCATGAAATTGTCTGTTAATAGGACCCAGTTGACCTTGGTTGGATGCCCTATGTTAGAAGCTGGCTCTCCCACCTACCTAAAGAACTGGGGGTTGCTGGCCAAACCTGTCTGCAGAATTTCTTTGATAAAAGCATATCAGAGGGTCTGCGTTTTGTGAAGAAGAATCAGAAGTTGCAGACCTTTCCTGTTCCAGAAATTGCAATTGTAATGACTCTGTGCAGCATTCTTGGTGCCTTCATTGACTTCCTTGGTAAAAATGGAGGCCTGGCAGGTAAGTTCAGACTTACAATAATTAAGGCCTTTTATTATTTGAATACTATTTTTAATATTTTTGGAAAGGTTTGACCATTCTGCCAAACAGAATGACAATGCCTTTTCACATTAAAATCTGTAGTACATAATAACCAGAAAGTTCAGGCACAATTCTTTAACTGGTAACATTTACAAGCTACAGTAGTTATACTGCAAAATCTGATTTGCCAACTCACCATTGCACAAAGATGTGAAATGTTTTTAAAGTTTAAGCAGTAAAAGAAGCTGCTGTTACTTACTGTTGATATTGAAAGGCATTTCTGACTCTCTACAGTATCTGTGATGTACAGTATTATCAATATTTAATTCTTAACTTTGTGATGTTTGGCACAGCTAGTTGTATTTGAAATAATTGTCAAGATGTATATTCCTTTTTTGTTTTCATAGAATGACTAGAATTCTTCCAGACCATCTTCTTTAATTGTAACCCTTTATTGGTGACTGGGTTTAAAACCATTCATCTTCTCTATTATAAAACAATTTGGTACAAAGTATATATGAGTACTGAGTATGAGTAACAGCCCAACAACAAAAATACACTCTCACTTTAGCAATTTGTATTCTGAATTTAATGTAAGATAAAACTACTTTGCTCAGACAAGTAGACTATACTAGCCATTTGGGTTAGTTTTACAATACAGACACAATGAGAAGCTTAGCCAAAACCAAAGCAGAATATGAAGGGTGTGCTAGAAAAGTTTTAAACAGAGCTGACCACTTCAAAGTCAACTTTCAACCCTTTCTTTGCTCTTTTCATATGCAACTGTTTTGAATCTGAAGTGTTGTTGCAGATTGAATATTATATTTTAGGGATGTTACAGTGTGTTTATGAAAAATGTCCATTAATTCTTCCACATTGTAATGTAAAGCTGTTACTCCATGTTTAACAAAACCTTCTTTCTTGTAAGGAGAAGCTTCTGATATAGAGAGAATTGGCGAAGAAGCAAGAGATTTGCAGACCAAAACAAATAATTCAAATTCCATTGGGGCATTTTCTCTGGAAATTAGCCCCAGTGTAATTGCATCATCTAAAAACAGGTAATTGTGAAATCAAGAAAGATAAATGTACTTCATCACAACTAAACCACTTGTTCATATTTGTCATAAATAATACAAGCTGTAAACATCTGCTCAAATGATGCTCTTAATGCTCTCTAATTCTGTTTTAACAAGAGTTAGATGCTTTAAGAAAACCTTTTAAGTGTCAAAAACACTAATGCCTTCCATGCAAATATAAAGATTGGAGTGATTTTTAGCATTGAAAAATAATGCAAGAACATACATTTTTGTGGTTGATGTTAAGAAGAAACTAATATTGTTTCTGTACTAATCCAGTGATTTAAAGTTGTTTGAATCACTTGAAGCACTTTAATCATGCAGAGATTTTTTTTTCTTTTTAACAGGGAAGATTATAAGTGGTTTCTTCAAAAGAATCCTGGAAAACTTACTACTTTTCTAGGGAAGCTCTTTGTCTTTGCATTTACCTGGGCAGTTGGGGGAGTTTTAAACCTCACCGACAATTATGATGACTTTCCAGTTTCAAAAGACAAAGATGAGACGTGGTCAGATGTAGCACGTGACTTCCAAAACCTGGTGCAGGAGTTATTTGAAGGAAATTCATCATATGGTTAGTTTACTTTTGTTCATTGCTCACAACAAAGGTGCTAGAAAATATTGCATTTAGTTAGCTGTAAAGACTATAGTAATGTAGTGCTATATGACAAACAAAATATACCGATAAGTTACTATATGTTGCTTTAATAGCCTTTGAATTCTTTCATATAATTTTACATTGTTTTCCTTTGTTTTTAAAACATAATTCTAATATTTAAACCCCAATAGCTAGGATCTGTAACTGAGTAATATTTTTACTAGTATTCTGTTTAGTCAACATGAGCATTTGAGATGACATTCACATTCTGTTTGTAATGTGTGTGTGTATATATATATACACACTGTAGGCATGTATTAAAATATGCAATTGATACATAAAACATTTTAAGTGTTCATTGTGTTCAGTTTGAAGCACATTTTGGAAATTAAAGACCCTCATTGGCAGTGAAAGATTCTTATGATTTTTAAACATGTATGTTTTTCTTGTAGTAGAATAGTGTTGCTTAAAAACTAATGATGGATCACAAAAAATTAGGAAGGCTTAATACATGGCACGCCTTGCAAAATACACAGTGTTGTAGGTGCTGACAGGCATGTATGAAGGAAAGGTGATCTTACTTTAACAACAGCAAAAATGGTCAGACAACTGTTTATTTCAATGTCCAGGAATTCAGTTTCCTTCTGGAAATAGGATGATCTTCAGTTATTTTGTGGATCTGCAGACCGGTGCATTTGTGCCCTGGGAAGATTTGATTCCTTCTACTGAAATGCTTATTCGTAAGAGTAAGTACTCTTAATTATTTTACTAAAAACAATTGGTGATATTTTGATTTAGTTTAATAAAATAATTGAAAATCTGATCATCCAGTCAGTCATAAAGCTTTTCAGTGGCACCAGCATTTTGTGGACAAGATCAGAAAACTAAATTATTATAGAGGATTAAAATGGGCAGCATATCATGATAAATTGTTTTAGTTCACAATATACAGTTATTCCATCATTGTGAAATTATGGACGGTACATGCACTATTGCAAATACATTTCTGATTCAAACTGACTTTTTATTTTTATTTAGGATTATTTCTGAGAAATCCATTTTTAGAATTTTAAAACTACAACAAAATGCTGATTTTATCAATTCAATCTAGTTTCTAAGTATAAACAGGGGTAATGAATGCCCCTCTCTATCTACTCATTACCCTTCAGCAACTCCATGACTCATTCCACCTAATGGGAGGGTTCCAACAGCCTGATTTTCTCTTTCTTAAACCCAACACTGTATCTTGTTTTCCTCAAGACTTAAGCCACTGAATACTAGTGATGTTGATCTGAAAGCAAGTTTTTTTTTGGCCAGAAGTAAACCAACACCATATCCTTGTTTATAGCTCTATTTACAGGAATGAATAAGTTCTTCTAATAACCTGGTAGAAAAAAAAACGTCTGATACATTGCAATCTTCGTAACAATGTTGCACTCCTTGTTTCGATGTTATTATTCTATTGTTGAGACCCCTGTGTGTCCTAGCAGACTGGTACTCCTTACCCCACAAAAGTTTGCCTATTGTCATAAATCACACACAGGCATCACCACATACCCATGCGCATTCCACACTCCTTCCTATTTAAACCCTCTCCCCCTCAATTTGTCCTCACTCAACCTTGAGACCTTTTCTCTGCTAGAGCTACACAACCCTTCAATCCAGATTTGTAGTTCTCTTTCAACCTTTGCTTTACATCCAAGACTCCTCTTGACAAACGATTTGGATTATTTCGCTTTGTTTTGGATTTTCTTTCAACCACCTCTCTGGTCACGCATAGGGTCCAGCTATAGTAATTAACCTAAGTTTGGGCATTACTGACACCTTTGTGTTTCTACACCAGTATCAAATGTTTATAATAGTGGTAAGACATTTTGGAAAATTACCTCCGACCTGAAGTACTGTAAAACGAGACAGGAACAGACGTAACATGATAACGATGTCAGTGTTCAGGAACAGTCACAGTACTAAGATTCATTTATATTCTGATAGACATTCATGACTTAAAAACAGTAGGGGCCTTATTCTTCAAAGTAGTACTCTATTCCAGAGAATTAGTCTTTTGATGTTATACTTTAGCTTAGGACATAGCGGGTAGTCTCTTGTAAACTACACCTTTCAAATATATTTCTCTATAATTGCAGACAGAAAATTACTAATAAAATTTTGTGCTTTTCAGGACTGAACATATCTTCCTTCTCTGGATCACTCATGTCAGCAGGGTTCAACAAAAAAGTAAACCTAGTAGAAAGTGCAGATCCAAGAGGCAACCTTATATGCACTGCAGATACAGTCCGGTATTCCTTTTTAACTAGCTTACTTTTACTCAGCAAACGGCCAGTACTGTTGACAGGTAACTGATATTCTGCATCAAATGCTTTTAATACTTTAATAGAACTACAGTAATAGTCTTATTTGAGTGTCCTTTATTTCTGATGATACAGTATATCTTAGCTGTAGCAAAACTCTTAAAGTCGGGATATAGAGTAGTAACCCCTACTTGTAGGGTATACGAATTCTTGTTTTTGATAAATTGTGAAGGTAAGATTTTTACAATAAGCATTACCTGGGCATGTATAATGTTGGAAATTCATCATTTTCTTTGTGCTGTAAATGTCTCTGAAAAAATTACTATTCTCATCACATTCTAAAATTATCCAAATCTGCTCTTTAATTTAAGCAGTCCAATAGCTACAGTATAGCAATATAGAATTTAGCAAATTCTTCAAATAATACTTTTATTAAATTACATTATTATATAAAAGACACCACTGGACATTCATTCAAAAGGGTGATGCACCCATCAACTCCTACATAGCTGAATTGCTTTGACCAAGAAACAACCTGTTTTTAAAAACAGAGCTACTACAAAGTTATAATAGAAATTTGGGAGAAATGTTGGATCCTAGTCTCACACCCTTTCACTCATTTGTGCATATAAGTCTCACACCTAGGACTTCCCATAGCTCATTCCTCCCATACCAAACCAGCTACCCCTTCTACACACCTGCACCAACTTTCTAACTTAGTCCTTAAATCTGAGGAGCAGCCTGGGCAGCCTTGTCCTTAGAGAGGCTGACAATTCCTCAGCCAGCCAAGCTACACCAAATATACTCTGCACATTTTGTTAGGATCTGACCAAACTGCTGAAATTACAACTATTACTTGGACTAGGGTTAACCTCTGATTTCATATGAATGGTATGATTGACAACATGAGGTTTATAACTAAAAGACTGGTACTTTTGGTCCTGGCGCATAAAGCCAGACATAATTTACATTACTCTCGTGAATATGTGGAAACTAGCTGAGTTTTCTTTTTTCAGGAGATTCAGGTGTTGGCAAATCTATGTTGATTCACAGCATGATTCAAATGCTTCAGAAAGAAGGAGGGCATTTGGTCAAGCCAGGTACTATTCTTGGGCAAGTGTTTCTGCACAATCAAGCAAAAACTGCAAGGTAATGCGCAAAAGTATGAAATACACCATATACAGTACAAAACTAAACTGTATATTAAAATGCTCTGCATAAGAAGGCCTTTACTTATATTAAAAGATTAGATGAACACATTAAGCATTTAGGGGTTCATGCTTCTTTTTTTTAATTAAAACTTCACCCCACCCCTACCCCTCACCCCCTTCCATCACTTATCTCTTGTTTGATGTCAACCAGAGCTTGACATCAAATTGCCTGGAGCTAAATAGTCACAAAACAGAAATTTTACTAGTGGGCAGCAAATGTCAGCTGGGAAAGCAGGAGAAGTCCAC